CCTGTGCTGATCACATGCACCCTCCCAAAAAAAAAAAAACTCTCTCTAACAATGCACACCAAACTGAGCATGTGCACAGTGTCTCTACATAATATGTATTATCAGGTGATAAGAGGGGGACACTGGAAGAAGGGGAGGATCAGAGAAGTCAGGATCAAACTGCCTTTTTACACAATGCAGAGGATTATCCCCTTAGGTTCCAAAGTAAGTATATCAAGTATATCATATATTTTACTACATATATAGATTGATTTTACTGTTGTGGGTTTAGTAACACTTTAATGTGCAACAATTAGGGCCCCATCAAGTGTGCAGAAGATTTGTGTCTCCATTCTTTAATGAGATACAAAAGGGGGACATTACTGCTTATAGCAAAATTATTCATTTCAAGAGTTAAACTCAGTTACCAGCAACTGAGAACCCAAAAGTGAGTTAGCCTGACAACGTGATAGTTCACTTGGGGAGAGATATCTCAGAAGCAGGAATTGATGTTTAAATTCTGATCCTGCAGGACATTTGGGTTTGCTTAAAGTGATACTGTACCCTATTACTTTGTTGAATCTTCGTTGAAGTGTTTAACCACTTGCAGACTGCTACAGGGTGGTTACTCAGAGCAAAATCACGGGTGCATATATATACATATATATATATATACATATATATATATATGATTTTTTATTTCCGGGTAGGGGGCGCACACACACCATGCTACCCACGCTGTCATTGGCTCCCATAGGTGTCAACCACCAGCAATTCATAGCTGGGACTTGGTGATCAGTGGAGCAGCTGACATGAGAGAGATCTGTGAATGCAAACAACACAGAACCTTCTCCTGTCAGTAGGGACATGCTGGTTTTTATCTCTCTGTAAAACAGGGAGATAAAAGCCAGCACGTCCCTTAGTAAAGCACTACACAGTACACAGTTTAATCAATCCCTAACACACAGTTAACCCTTTGATCGTCCCAGATGTTAACCCCTTCTTTCCAGTGTCATTAGTACAGAGTCAGTGCTTTTTATGAGCACTGATCACTGTATTAGTGTCACTGGAGATGTTCGTGGCAATTAGTCAGTTCCCACCCAGTGTCAGAATGCCTGCTGTACTACCACAGTCCCACTATAAATTGCTGATCGCCGCCATTACTAGTATTAAAAAAAAAAAATTACAGTATATATGCTGCCCTTTTTAGACGCTACAACTTTCACGCAAAAACAAATAATATACACTTATTGGAATTTTTTTTACCAAATACATATACAAACACATATAGTAAAATACATTTTGGCTGGAATGTATGAAGAAATTTAATTTTTTATTGGATAAGTTTTATAGCAGTTTTAATTTTTGGTCTTTTTTCATTTATAGTACAAAATAAAAAGCCCAGTGATGGTCAAATATCACCAAAAGAAAGTTCTATTTGTGTGAAAAAAATTATATAAATTTCATTTGTGTACAGTGTTGCATGACCACGCAATGGTCAGTTAAAGTAGCGCAGCACCATATAGAAAAAAATGGCCTGGTCATGAAGGGGGGTAAATCTTCCAGAGGGCAAGTGGTTAATTTTTTTTCTTTTATGCACATCTATTCATGTTGTGCTTGCACTCTTTATATTCTGACCTCAGTACAATTAGAATATTTGCTCACTTTAAACTGTGTGTTTATTTTATGGTTTCAAAGTCAGAGAGTCCTTCTGGTCAAAGATTCATGGTGGTGTCAGCAGGGGCTGTAGTTCAAAAGCAGGCTCGGAACAGACAGGGAACCCACCCAAAAATAATACTCAGTATTAGTGTAACATCTTTGCTTTCTTTTTACAGAATTTATACATTTATAATGATTTGTCAAGTTATAACTTTAGGCTACCTGCTGAAGGACTGTAATGCAACAAGAGAGAGCACACTGAATTGTCACCTGGTTAAATCCATTTAAAAAGATGCACTTACAGAATAAAAACCTGATAAATTGCATATCACAGGTCGTAAACCTCTGCTTTGAGACATGAGGGTTTATTTAATAAAGCTGGAGAGTCCAAAATCAGACTCCCTTCTGCATAGAAACCAATCAGCTTCTAACCTCAGCTTGTTCAATGAAGCTTTGGCAATGAAACCTGGAAGCTGATTGGTTTCTATGCAGAAGGGAGTCTGATTTTGGACTCTCCAGCTTTAGTAAATAAACCCCATGGTGTCATGGCGGATAAAGGGGCTGTGCCCAGAAATGTGTAAATGGAAGCACCCTGCTTTCCTGATGGCCACCTGCCTGTCCCTCGTTGGCACTCCTCTATACCTGGACTAGTTTTGATTTATTAATGTCCCTCATTCCATCCCACAGGTGTTGGTTATTTCTATTTTTGTCTTCCATTGGTCGGCAATACAGTGAATTCATTTGTTCATAATGACAGGTGATGCTGTCTTTATTTTTATTGCTTTTTAGTCTTTTTCATACAGCCTATTGGTATGTTTTGAGAGTTTGTAAAGGCAAGCAGACTTCTGAATGCCCTTACCAGTGAAAGGTTAATATTGATATATGGAAAAATCTAAATTTATAATATATGAATAAATAGTTTTATAGATATTTTTGCAATTTTCATACCATATAATTGCCATGTTAAGTCAGTTCCACTGTATATTTGCAGTTGGGAAAGAGTGGCCCCCAGTAATACTAATGCAATACTAATGAGGTATCCTGCTGTGTTCTAGTCTTGGGTCTTTTTTGAGGCTCACGTGCCTGCTGTGTTGGATCTCCTTTCTTTCATCTGCTCAAATATCAGCATTTGTAGGAGAAGAGTAGAGTAGTAGGAAAATCATAATGTATTTATGGTAAAGCTATTATTGTAGTGTTTGCCCTAATATTCTTTTAATATTCACATTTTTTATTGCTTCCATATTGTTGTTATTGTATTTCATATAGGGATTTGTAGACTAACCACTAAGGGAGCTCTGTGTTTGACTGAGCCCCAGTTTAGCCTTCCTGCTTAACCTCTGAATACCAACTTCTCCCGGCCCTTAAATGGGGTTTTTAAAGCCAGGAGGCAGGGCGGGGGGGTTTATGATCATGTGACCGCCGTGATTGGCTGTCACAGTGGTCGTATGATCGGAAAACTCATGATCACAAGAAGTGATCCGGAGCTTTCTATTAGGCACTGGTAACTGTGGTAGGGACCTACAGTGTGCACGCTCTTGTCACATTTTGGTATGCAAGTATGCAGTCTCTTGGAATCAAGGACCACCCACCGAGAGGCCATATTTGGGTACTCTGGGACCAAAGAGGTTAACAACTGTCCAAATAAGATATCAGCCTCTCTGGGAGTGCATTGAATTTAGGGAGTTGGCTGATTTATAGACTGAGCAGCAGCAGTAAAGCACAACTACTGTGTAGTGCAAAGCACAGAGTATCCTTGTAATTACACTGGAAGAAATACCATTACAGGTCCAGTTCGCTCCTAATCTATTTATATTGTACCCAATCTCAAGCCATGAGGAAAGGGACCGTTTTGGATTCCCGAAAAGCCCCTTTTGATTGCCCGCTTGACCTTTATTGGAAGAAAGTTGTTGGACATTTTAGCAGTGGTGTGGCACTTCAATTTACATTTTTGTTACATTAAACCACAAGCCTAGGCGACCATGGAGATCCTCTTCTGTGGGGGAACCATAGTCACCTACATCAACATCAATACCTGAGGATAAGATAGCATTACCAAAAACATAACCTTAACGGGCCAGCACTATTTTTCAACTTTCCTTACCCTATCTGCCTGGTGACTGCACAGTGAAGGAACAGCAGCACCTTTAACCCCTTCCTGCCCAGGCCAATTTTCAGCTTTCAGCGCTGTCGCACTTTGAATGACAACTGTGCGATCATGCAACACTGTACCCAAATTAAGTTTTTATCATTTTATTGAGACAAATAGAGCTTTCTTTTGGTGGTATTTAATCACCATTGGGGTTTTTTTATTTTTTGCTAAACAAACAAAAAAAAGTTTTTGTTCATTTCTCTTAAAAAGTTTTATAAATAAGTGATTTTTATTCTTTACTGATGTGCGCTGATGAGGCTGCACTGATGGACACTGATGAGGCTGCACTGATAGGTGGTACTGATAGGCGGCACTGATAGGCGGCACTGAAGGGCACTGATAGGCAGCACTGATGGGCACTGACAGGCATCAATGAGGAGGCACTAAAAGCCAGCACAGATGGGCACTAAAAGCCAGCACAGATGGGCACAGATGGGACTACACTGATCATCAGGGCACTGATGATCAGTGCCCTGATGATCAGTGTAGAAATGCCATTTGCTGGCTCTCCTCTCCTCACGTGCTGTCAGTGTGAGGAGAGGACTGCTGATAACTGGCATTTCTTGTTTACATGTGATCAGCTGTGACTGGACAATTAAAAGGCGGCTCTGATTAGCCCCCTACTTGAACATGTGGTCAGCTGTGTCCGAAGGACACAGTGATCACAGATTGTGCACAGCACAGGAGGGTGTGGTTATGGAAGGACATCCATGGACGCCCTCCCAGAACTAGCCAACCGTGCTGTCGCCGTCTTTTGGCTATAGCGCGGTCGGGAAAGTGGTTAAAAGTCTATTTTGTTTTACATATAGAGGCTTGTAGACCAACCAATAGAGGGAGCTCTGTGTTTGACTGAGCCCCAGTTTAGCCTTCCTGTTTAACAACTGTTGAAATAAGATATCAGCCTCTCAGGGAGTGCATTGTTTTCAGGGAGTTGGCTGTTATATAGGCTGAGAAGCAGCACAACTACTGGATTACACTGCAAAGCACAAAAAAAAACCTGAGTATGTATTGAACAAACATGGCTGCTCACATGTACAGATTTAATTCTGAACTTTAAAAAAAGCTTTAATATACATTTATACCATTATTTTGTAAATCTGATCTTATTTACAATACATTCCCTATAAAAAAAAAGGGGGAATGCAAACTAACAGGAGAACCTTAAAACTTAAAGTATATGCATTAATTTGATATTTTCTGTTTCCTTCCCTAGATCCCAATAATTATTATTATAGACGAAATGAGCTGACAACATCAGACAATCTGGACTTCCGACATCACAACTATAAGGAAATGAGACAGGTACATCCCCATGACATTATAACCCTGTAGTGTTTAATAAGGCCAAGAAAAGACTGCAGAGAATAGTAATCCATTTAGAAAGCCATTGTCATTATTCTGAATACTACTGAATTATCCACCGCAGAGTTGACTCCAGGAACTTGTCTTTAGATGTCCTACTCGACCATTTCTTCCTGATGTTTTTTACAATTTCATTTTGCTAAAGTTGACTTACTCATCTTTTTCAGCTGATGAAGGTGGTGAATGAAATGTGTCCTAACATTACCCGTGTCTATAATATTGGACGTAGTCACGAGGGCCTCAAGCTCTATGCCATGGAGATGTCTGACAACCCCGGGGAGCACGAAGTCGGTTAGGAGACTAAACACACTCTATGTATGTCCTGCGACTTCCCGCCTGTCTCTTCTACATCTTCCCTTATTCCTGTGCATTAAAATTGGCTGGTTCTGTGTTGTGATTCCACCTAGGGAAGGCTGGCACCAAGGGTATGTCAAGTATTGAGAGGCAGCTAGAGATGATATTTTAAGCCAGGAAATAATTTTTCTGCACATTTATATACAATATCTATTTATGATTTCTGAACTCAACAACACCAGAGCTACATAAATGTTTACCTACAGGAAGTTATAGCATAGCAACAAATACAAATAATTTAAATTTTTTATAAAAACCATATGTTCCTGACATTCAACCTAATTGAAAGAAGCTTTCTTTGTTTAATCTTTTCTTGCGTTATCCCCATTCACTTTGTTTTTACACGTTAAAGGCTAAAAGTAATGATGACAAGCTGAATCACAAGTTGCCTACTTGTATTGCATATTTAGAACACTCCATTGTTGAGATACTCTCACCCTCACTAGTTTGGCCCAACGGCTGCAGTCGTTACAGAGCCAAATTATGTGGTGTCATGCTGCCCAATGGAGTTGCCATATAATTAGAAAAAACAAATTATTGAGGAGCTCAGATCCTGTAAAGCTTTGACTAAATCTTTACAAGTCGTAAACTACTACTGGGGAATTTGACTATTGGAGTCTTTGAGAGATGTAAGAACCCAATGGATGATTACTTGAAGGAGTTGGCCTTAAAGTATTAGCTGGATTTGTACTTTACAATTTACTTATCCAGCTCTCATTTTACAGTAGAGCTTTGATCTAAATGGTGGCTATGGGACAAAATGAACTGTTCCTACTTGATACATATACAAATAGGTTAATAAGGATAACTGCATTTAGGAGGGCTAAATGCAGATATATCCTGGCAAACAAAGGTTGAAACGTCATAAGGACTTTTGCTGATCAGCTTTTGTTCGCCTCAACTGGATTGTGCATTCGCGACTATGGGTATGCAAAACGTGCTAGAAGTAGATTACATGCATGTCATATGGAGGTCAACTGCACCTGTCAATGAATTTTGAATGATCTCATAAGCATCTTATACTGATGTCAAACTGATGCCATCAATACAAGCCCATAGCCCATTGACACAAGCCCTCATCCTGACTGTGTTGTATAATGTATTTAGAAAGAGTTGCCAGCCCTTTCTCTGTGATTTCATGTCCATTGTCTATGCTGTCGCTGTCTCTTTACTTTGCTGCCCTTGTGTGCAAACTCATGTCTGTGTAACAGAACCTGGCATCCTAGAAGCATTCTGGGGAAAAAAAGGATTTACACATCAGTGTGTTGCCCAAAGCAACTAATCGCATGCTGAACCTAGACCATGTGAATACTTTTTGAATGTGCTAATTTGTATGAGGCAGACCCTTTCATTGCAACTATGTGTACCAGTGTCTTTCAGGTTATAGAGGAAAGACCAATGCTCTAAATATTGATGGATCCGATTTCTAAAATCTAGTAGGGATGAAAAGTGAGAATAATGTCCATAACAACCAATAAGATGCCACCAGCAATGGTAAACATATAATTTGAAACAAATATCAGATCAGTCAGAACCTGAACTTTTCCTTTCTACTTATGTTACATCTTGTAGGCTTTTTCAAGTTATTTTTCGATCTGTCCGCTGTAATAATGATACCTGAGAACTTAAAGGCCAAGTTGACCTAAAACAGATATGTAGATATAGGCTCCTTCTCAAAGGTGTGACATTCTCACAGAAGAGTTTTTGCTTGTTCCTCATTATAGAGAATCTATTAGGGGTGTTGTGACACGTGGCCTTGTAATGGCCATGGTAGTTAGATAGAACTAGTAATTTTGATGTAGTCTCTTGCCAATGGGTCACTAAGTGGCAAAATCAACGTATTTAAATTGTATAATATACTTTAAATTTTGAAAGAAGATACTCTTTAAGTACTCTGGTGATGTTCTGGGGTGTATATATAAGATACATTCTTAAAGCTAAACGTAATTTAAAACCAAAACCTAAACAAAAAGCTGCCCCATTCCCACAGTCCCATTTCCGCTGATATCTGTATCGAAGACAAATTGTCAGATAAAAAATCATAAGAAACCTAAACATGTAGGAGTGGAGGAGATTTCTTGGTCTCTCTCCATGTGCCGATGCCAGTGGATCGCACCAGTGAGCACAGCAGGAGGGCCAGGAAACTGACACTTCCAGAAGTGTCGGTTTATGAAGTTTGTTTGGCTGGTAATTTTTTTTCAGTGCAGCAGAGATTAGTGGCTCAGCTGAGAAAGGCAGCTTTATTTTAGGTTTTGGTTTTAACTACAGAGACACTAAAGTGAATCTGTCATATGTGGATTAGGACAACAGAGTTCAAACATAGGTTGCAACAAAGCAGGAAGCCTCTTCTTTAAAGTAATAGTGCCTGTGTTACTCTGTATCATACATTTTCCTTCTAGTTGGCAGATTTTACCATGGTTTGTGTTGCTCACAGCAAATAATTCTTAAAAATGTCCACATCTGCATTGAATTTAGTATTTTAGTATTGACAAATTTTGTACAAACATTAAAGTAGTGAGCTGCTGCATGTCCAAATACTTTTTATTGATCTATTCCCTTTAGCATAATTACTGATAGTTTTCTTTTAATTTTATACCAGAATCATAATGAATACTTTGGAGCACCAGTGTTGATTAAAGTTAGTTTTTATTATTATTATTATTATTATTATACAGGATTTATATAGCCAACAGTTTGCTCAGCGCTTTACAATATAACGGGAGACAATACAGCAACAATACAGTTCAGTACAAGAGGGATAGGAGGGCCCTGCTCCTTGGAGCTTACAATCTAGGAGGGAGGGGCTAGTGGTACAAAAGGTAGTAACTGCGGGGAATGGACTGGTTGGAAGAATAGAAGATTCCATTATTAGCTGAGGGCAGGATAGGCTTCCCTGAAGAGATAAGTTTTCAGAGATCGCCTAAAAGTGAGCTGAGTAGGCGATAGTCTGATACATTGGGGTAGAGAGTTCCAGAGGATGGGGGGAAGCTCCGGAGAAGTCCTGGAGACGAGCATGGGAGGAGGAGACAAGGGAGCTAGAGAACAGGAGGTCTTGTGAGGAGCGGAGAGTACGGTTTGGGTGATATTTAGAGACAAGATCGGTGATGTAATTTGGGGCAGAGTTATAAATGGCTTTATACGTTTTTGTTAATGTTTTGAATTTTATCCGTTGGGTAATGGGAAGCCAGTGTAGGGATTGACAGAGAGGGGTGGCAGATACAGAACGGTTAGTAAGGTGGATGAGTCTGGCAACAGCATTCATGATAGACTGAAGAGGGGATAGCCTGTGATTAGGTAGGCCAATGAGGAGGGAGTTACAATAGTCAAGGCGAGATATAACAAGGGAGTGAATAAGTTGCTTAGTGGTTTCCGAGGTTAGGAATGGCCGTATCTTGGAGATGTTGCGGAGGTGAAGTCTACAAGATTTGGACAGTGAATGGATTTGGGACTGAAAGGACAGATGGGAGTCTAGGATTACACCTAGTACCCTGGCATGAGGGGAGGGAATGATGATTGTGTTATTGATCTTGATGGAGATGTCAGGGGAGAGGGCACAGGCTGGGGGGAATACTAAGAGCTCAGTGTTGGAAAGATTGAGTTTGAGGAAGTGGAGCAACATCCATGCCAATATGTCACTTAGCAGGTTAGAAATGAGAGAGGAGACTGAAGAGGTGAGATGAGGGATAGAAAGATAGATTTTGTGTGTCATCAGTATAGAGATGGTACTTAAAGCCATGGGAGTTTGTCAAGTGACCAAGGGAGGAGGTGTAGATGGAGAAGAGAAGGGGTCCAAGGACAGAACCTTGGGGGATCCCTACGGAAAGAGAGAGTGAAGAGGAGGAGGCAACGTTATAGATAATGCTGAAGGAGTGCTGCTATAGGTAGGAGGAGAACCAGGAGAGAGCAGAGTCTCTGAGGCCAAGAGAGTTGAGTTTTTTGAGGAGGAGGGGATGGTCAACCGTATCAAAAGCCGCAGATAGGTCAAGTAGTAAGAGTAAGGAGTAGTGGCCATTGGTTTTAGCTGTTAATAGATCATTAGTGAGTTTTAGTAGGGCAGTTTCAGTGGAGTGTAGTGAGCGAAAGCCAGACTGTAGAGGGTCAAGAAAGTTGTTGTCAATGAGGTAGGAGTTCAGCGATTGTAGACTAAGCGTTTTAGGAGTTTAGAGGTAAATGGCAGCAGAGAGATGGGTCTTAAGTTGTTCAGGTTGGTGGGGTCCAGGGAGGGCTTTTTAAGTATGGGAGTGATGTGTGCATGCTTTAGAGGGGAGGGGAAGGCACCAGTAGAGAGGGAGAGATTGAAGATGTGAGTGAGAGAGCATAGGATGAAAGAAGAGGGTGACCGTAGTAGTTGTGAGGGGACAGGATCCAGAGAGCAGGAAGTGAGACGGGCTTCTGAAAAAACCTTAGTGACCTCTTCGGTAGTAGCAAGGTCAAAAGAGGAAAGTGTTGAGGGAGGTTTAGTATAAGGTATGCTAAGTGGGATGGATGCCTGTGCAGTGGCAAAGCCCCTACGAATTGTGTCAATCTTGTTTTTGAAATGATTTGCAATCTCGTGAGCAGTGAGTGAGGTACTGGGTGGAGGTGGAGAAAGTAGAGAGTTAAAAGTAGAGAAGAGACGATGAGGACTGGATGACAAGGTATTAATAAGAGTGACAAAGTAGGCTTGTTTGGCAGCATGAAGGGAAGAATTGTATGTTAAGAAAGCAGATTTATATAGGGTCAATGCTTGGTGAGATTTGGTTTTACGCCACAATCGCTCCAGCGCACGGCTATGTCGTTTAAGATTTCTGGTGTCGTCAGTCTGCCAAGGTTGTAATGGTCGGGGTCTGATGCTTCCTGTTGTTAGAGGAGCAAGTGAGTCTAATGTGGATGAAAGCGAACTGTTGTAGACAGCAGTGGCCAGGTGAGGGCAGGACAGAGGAAATCATTAAAAAAAATCCAGTGTAAAATATGTTCCTGTAATGCGTGCATTATTTAGAGGTGACTTTAGTTCAAACAAAATTTTAATAAGGCTTCTCCATCAACCTGCACTGAAATGGTACTTGTCATTTAAAGGGTCCATTCACTCAGTATGGGTGCTGGTAAGATTATAGTGGCAATACTTTTTTCCTAATGGAGATCCAACCCCTACCTGCTTAGCTTTGGAGTTTTGCCCTTTGTTGCAGTAAAAGGAATCAATGACCTCATAATACAGTCTCACTGATGTACGGTTATAGAGAAATCCATCATAGAGAATAGGCCCTGTTGTAATGTATAGGACAGATGGGCAGAAGTGGGAATTTAGGAGTAGAGATCTCTCCATCAGAGTCTTTCAGAAATATATGAAACTGGAGGTGCGTTTTTAAAAATCTATTTTTTTGTGTTTCAGAAATCTTATGTCTATACTATATGTGCAAGGTCTTCTTCATTCATATGTTGCATAATTATTGTGCTTTATTGTTCATCTCTTTCAATGCAGTTCGCTTAAAAAACAGATGCACTATGTGACTAATTAATCTTATCTCAGCAGTTTCCTTTTTATCATGCTTGATGACAATGCTGCTAGGCCCACAATTCCTATGACACAGGACTGTACGTAATTCTACTCTTTTCTGGTGGTCTTGTTCTTTCCATTTATGCAGGGGAGCCAGAGTTTCGCTACATGGCAGGAGCCCATGGAAACGAAGTCTTAGGAAGAGAACTCCTACTGTTATTGATGCAGTTCCTCTGTCAGGAGTACAAGGCAGGCAATAAACGCATCTTACGGCTAATTCACAACACCCGCCTCCATTTCCTCCCATCTGCCAACCCTGATGGATATGAGAAGGCTGTAGAACTGGTGAGCAAATTCATGTCAGACAGGTCCATCATTACATATGTTGTATTTATTAGATCCATATGTTTATAGTTCACGTTGGAGAAAATCATTTATACAATGCGGTAATCTCTAAAGAGATTTAAAGCAGAAATCTAGTTATTTATTTAGCATAGTCCTTTATCCTTTTCTATATGCATTAATGGTTTGGAGTATTAAAGACATTTTTTTAAAGAATATTAATAAGCTAAACTGATGTTGTAATTATGATAGTCAGCATGTGTTCAGTTGACTATACAGAGCCAGGTCTTTGGTTTGTAATAAGGAAAACATATATTCCACTCTCTCCAAGTCATCATGAACCCCCATAGTGGGTGAATCACCATACTGAAATGTTTTTTTTAATTACTATAATTTATATATGTATAATTTATTATTATAGTACATATGCACAGTTAAATGTCTGTTCTCCATGGATTGCTAAGTAAAATGGATTTATGCACCAACCAACTTTTTCCAATGTGCTGGAAGATTATTGTGACCATCCCCACAATTATCTCTCTGTCATGTATGTTATCTCTTGCTTTCACCCCAACACATACATTAGCCCACATTGGGGTTAATTTACTAAAACTGGAGAAATCTGCTGCAGCCATGCATAGAAACCAATCAGCTTCCTGTTTTTTGTCAAAACGTAACCACTTGCCCTCCAGAGGATTTACTCCCCTTCCTGGCCAGGCCATGTTTTGCGATACAGCGCTGCATTACTTTAAGTGGCAATTGTGCGGTCATGCAACGCTGCACCCAAATGAAATGTATGTCCTTTTTTTCCCCACAAATGGAGATTTATTCTGGTGGCATGTGATTGCCTCTGGGCTTTTGTTTTTTGCGCTATAAACAAAAAAAGACCGACAATTTTGAAAAAACCCACAATATTTTTGACTTTTTGCTATAAAACGTATCCAGTAAAAAAATTTAAAAAATCAAATTTCGCCATAAATTAAGGCCAAAATGTATTCTGCTACATGTCTTTGCTATAAAAAAAATCCCAATACATGTAAATTAATTTGTTTGCATGAAAGTTATAGCATCTACAAATGACGGTATATATACTGGAATTTTTTTTTTAATACTAGTAATGGTGGCAATCAGCGACTTATAGAAGGACTGCAGCGGGCATTCTGACACTGGGGTAGAAATTCACTAATGGCTACTGACATTCCCAGTGACACTAATACAGTGATAAGTGCTAATAAAAAGCACTGACACTGTACTAATGACCCTGGGCAGAAAGGGGTTAACATCTGGGGCGATCAAAGAGTTAACTATGTGCTGTTTTACTATTTTGTCTGTGTGTGCTTTACAATGTAAGTATGCTGCTTTGTATTGCTCTGCTATGCAGAACAATACAAAGCAGCATGCTGGTGCAGACAGTGGAGAGATTTGTATTGTTTACATACAGACCTCTCCCCTGTCAGTGTTCCTCGATGATCGCTGGGTGCCGGCAGGAAATCTCTGGCCGGGACCCGGTGATCGACAGCTGTAGCTGCCAATGGCGCCCCTACCCAGAAATACAAAATCACATATATATATACATGATTTTGCGCAGCCCTGCCGCTCTTTAGCAGTACTTCTGCTATAGGCAGTCGTGAAGCAGTTAATTGAACAACTTGAAGTTAGAAGTTGATTGGCTACCATGCATAGCTGCACTAGATTTTGCATTCTCCAGTTTTACTAAATCAACCCCATTGCCTTGAGATGTGTTAACATGTTTAGATATGATGCATTTTTATAAAGAATCTTTAAATAGATTTGAATGATAAATTGCAAGTCAATGTACCCAATACCGAATCTTTTGAAATGCAATGCATTGGTGTGAATAGACTTTGTTTTAAAACAATGGATTTTCTTTTGTCAATGTATTTTTCCTGCACTGGATGATGGAGCTAAATGATGAACACGCTAGTTTAAAGAGCTCTTGTCATGGTATGCTGTCCAATAACATAAGTATTACATTTCTGTTTTAATTATATTAGGTCAGAAAGGATTAATTGTTTGCATCGTTTCCAGGGCTCAGAGTTAGGTGGTTGGTCACTGGGAAGATGGACGTCCGATGGGATTGACATAAACAACAATTTTCCAGATTTGAACACGTTGTTGTGGGAGTCCGAGGATCGCCCCAGGAATCTCCGCAGAGTCCCTAATAACCACATCCCAGTCCCTGATTGGTATCAGTACCAGAATGCCACGGTGAGATTAGAAACAATAAGTGGGCTTATGGGAAAAAAAACATCAAAGGACCGCATTAGTGGCTGAACTGATGCCTGAGTGACTCCTGTGACTCTTTTATTTCTGCACTTATGTGGCTCTTCCAGTGTACATCTATGGTTCTGTGATTTTTTTGTTGTACTGCTATGGTTCTCTGACTCTTCCCATGTATATCTGTGGTTCAGTGGCTCTTCCATTTTACCTATGTGGTTCTGTGACTCTTTCATTGTGTCTCTGTTTTACTGCAACACTTCTATGTACCTCTGTTGCTCTGTGACCTTTCTTTTGTACCTCTGTAGCTCATTGCCACTTTACTTCTATGCTCTTCCATTGTACCTGTGTGTTTCCATTGGTCTATCGTTGTGACTCTTCCATTGTGGGTCTATGACTCTTCTAATGTACCTCTGAAGTTCTCTGACTCTTCTTTTATACCTTTTTTGGTTCCCTGACCTTTCTTTTTTACCTCTGTGTGACATTTCTCTGATTACTCTATGGTTATGTGACTCCTCTCTTGTACCTCTGTGACTCTTCTAATGTACCTCTGTGATTCTCTGACTCTTCTTTTGTACCTTTTGTGGCTCCCTGACTTTTCTTTTTTACCTCCATGTTTTGTGTGACATTTCTCTGTCTCTGTGGTTGTGTGACTCCTCCATCATACCTCTGTGGTTATGTGACTCTTCCCTTGTACCTCTGTGGTTATGTGACTCTTCCCTTGCACCTCTGTGGTTGTGTGATTCTTCCCTTGTTCCTTTGTGGTTCTGTGATTCTTCTCTTGTACCTCTGTGGTTGTGTGACTCTTCCCTTGTACCTCTGTGGTTATGTGACTCTTCCCTTGTACCTCTGTGGTTATGTGACTCTTCCCTTGTACCTCTGTGGTTGTGTGATTCTTCCCTTGTTCCTTTGTGGTTTTGTGATTCTTCTCTTGTACCTCTGTGGTTGTGTGACTCTTACCTTGTACCTCTGTGGTTGTGTGGGTCTTCTCTTGTACCTCTGTGGTTGTGTGAGTCTTCTCTTTTACCTCTGTGGTTGTGTGAGTCTTCTCTTGTACCTCTGTGGTTGTGTGTGAGTCTTCTCTTGTACCTCTGTGGTTGTGTGAGTCTTCTCTTGTACCTCTGTGGCTGTGTGACTCCTCCCTCATACCTCTGTGGTTGTGTGAGTCTTCTCTTGTACCTCTGTGGTTGTGTGAGTCTTCTCTTGTACCTCTGTGGCTGTGTGACTCCTCCCTCATACCTCTGTGGTTGTGTGAGTCTTCCCTTTTACCTCTGTGGTTGTGTGAGTCTTCCCTTTTACCTCTGTGGTTGTGTGAGTCTTCTCTTGTACCTCTGTGGTTGTGTGAGTCTTCCCTTTTACCTCTGTGGTTGTGTGAGTCTTTCCTTTTACTTTTGTGGTTGTGTGACTTCACTGTTGCCTTTTTGGTTGTGTGAATCTTCTGTTGTACCTCTGTGGTTTGTGACTCTTCCCTTTTACCTTTGTATTTGTGTGACTCTTATCTTGTACTTCTGTGGTTGTATGACTCTTATCTTGTATCTTTGTGGTTCACTGACTCTTCTCTTGTGCCTCTGTGATTTTTCAGTTGTGCCTTTTTGGTTCTCTGACTCTTGTTCTGTACCTCTGGGATTGTGTGGCTCCTCTCTTTTACCTTTGTGGTTGCGTGACTATTCTCCTGTACTTCTGTGGTTGTGTGACTTTTCTCTTACCTCTGTAGTTGTTTGACTCTTTACTGTTACCTCTGTGATTCTCTGACTCTTGTTTTTGGTGACTCTTCTCTTGTTCTCTCGGTTCTATGACTCTTCTCTTCTACCTACTTTGTTCTGTGACTTTATTGTACCTTTATGTACCTTTTGTATTTTATCTCTGTGGTTCTTTTCTGTTTCCTAAGCATGTACAAAGTAAACTCCAATGTTTCTATTTAGTGCTGATGTCTAATAACTACATTATTAGTTTAGTCACTCTTTAGGAAGCCCAGTCAACTTCTATAAGAATGTATTCTTATTTAACATGATGATTCGGTCAGAAGTCTAAAACAGTACAATGTGTGGGCAATGAAAGTGTCAGGACCAGAACTGTTCTTGCCATCTTGCCATTAGGCAAAGTGAGATTTGTTTTCGCTGCCAGCCCCCCCCCCCCCCCCCCCCCAAGTCTGGTAAAAACATCAGACAAGTTTGTCACCTCCTTTTCTGGCACTCAGCTACGTTCTGCTTCCATGGACACTGAGGAAACAATACAGGGACAGCCAGAACTGAGAGTCCAGGGATTAGTACTGGTAGGCATTCAAGTACTGCCTCGGGAGTATTATGAGGCCACTTATGTCTCACATATTGCCCACCATTGTGCCAAACAAGATCAAGAAATGTGTTTGTTATCAGTATACAGCATATCCACATATAATTACGTATTCTTGTTTAATAAACTTGACTTTTTCACAGTATAATTATTTTTTCTTTTTTAAGTGCCTCAACGTGGGATGAAGTCTCTGCCAGATTGTTGATCTATTTTAGTTTATCTCAGTAATGAAATCTTATATAGCTTGCATGGTAATTGAGGCAGTGCAGCTTTTTTCTTCAGTTTTAAACATCTCGGATAATTTACTAACAACCACATATATTTATGAACAAAAGCTTTTCATCTTTTGCACTGGTGGCTGTGGTCTGTCAGTTAAATTAGTATGTTTATGTCTATTCTGTTTTTGTTAACCTTCTTATAAAAAGAAATACAACGTTTTGGGTCTTGGCTCAGTTGTTGCATCCCAGCTGGTGAGGGAATGAGAACCTCTGTTTTGTTATTGCTGTTAGTGTCCTAGCTTGGTATATTCACCCTTTCTGTTTCTCTTTATCACCATTTTCACTGGGACTGAAAGTGAGGGAAAATCCAATGTTTTTTTTTTGTTTTGAAACACAATAGATAATGAAAAATAGAGAGAGCCAAATGGATCAAGAGGGTAAAAAGGTATGATAAAATCATTTTTTATTCAGAGTTGATAGCCAACACGTTTTAGGTTATACGCAACCCTGCCTTTTTCAGGGCTAACAAGTGCTGAGAAATACAATAAAATATAGCAATGCATACATTTTGGGTTACTTTTGGTTAACAATTCTGGGTATGTACAACTTGTGGATTTATTTATGTGTCAGTCATTTATGCTGCATTATATTACGTTTCGGAATTTTATCTCAACACCCACACACATCTAATTTGGAGCTGCATACCAGTTCCTTGCTCTACAAATAAGTCGCAGCCGGAGACGAAACATGTCAGAGAGGGAGAGAGACAGGTGGAGAGTCTGTATTTGTTCTGGTGCAATAAAGTTGCTTTTTACAACAAGGAACTGATGTGCAACTCCAAACTAGATGTGTGCGATGTGTGGGAAGAATGATCCCGGAGGAGTGCACCCACAGGCTGGAGAGGAGGATGGCAGTGGTTCTTGGATTGCCATCAAATTATGGTAAGTAATAATTCTAGTTCTAAATAGATATGATAATATAACATCATTTTATTTTATTCTTCTGCACTTGTTAACCCTGAGGATAGGGGGATTTATGTAACCCCTGAGATGCACAAGCTATTAACTATAATTAAACAACGGAGTACCTAAATAAGGATTAATGCTGTTCTACCTAATCTTCTTGATTTATTTCTTTGATGCTTCTTTATCATTACACTTCAAATTTTCATACGTCTTCCAGTGGTTTGAGGGGATCTATGGCCCAAGGAGCAGTTGAATAACTACATTGTGTTACAATGCTACATGACTAAGGTATTGCAGATATTACAGCTGCTCCTAAACCTTTAAACCCCCACCTACCCCTGTGACCTCTCCAAACCAAAAAAACGACACTGACCCACACTGGAGCTTAAAGGCCATAGCAGCCATTTTTATTAAACAAAAAGATTACAATTTTGTTACCAAAAATACAAAATTTTTATAATAACTCACCAAACATTAATCACTTTACTGTTATTCCGGATTACCTCATTAAAGTCTAGGGTCTTAGAAGGTGATTTGTATATCGACCAACTGGCTGTATCTGCCACCAACATAGACTTCAAGGCCCCCAGCCGAAAATACACAAACTCGGGGACAATTTCCTACAAATTACCCTTGATACAGCCAACTTACTCCTGAACCATTACTGCAATAAATTTGCTAGGGTAGGTATACCCATACCTGTGATGGGACCAACCCACCATTCTCCAAAATTTTAACACCGTCACTGCCTTCAAAGACCTCTGAGACCCCTTCCAACTGCTATGACAAAAGAAACCAAGAAAACAAGCAAACCCCCCAAAACACAGGAGCACGACCAAGCAGCCACCCATCTAGGAAACTGCCCAAGAACCACTTAAAGGCCGGGAAGGATCAAACAAGGTGAACCCCATGAACACGAAGCTGCCAACAAGTTATTCAGGAGGGAGGGCGGGAGAAGCTTGTTCTACACTGTCCCAACTCCGACTGACTCCGACCACTTTGGTACCACCCAACTTTCTCCCCGAGCCACCTGGCCCCTCTTAAGCAGCACCCTAAACCCCTCCAATCAGCTAACACTTTCCCTTTTTAAACAAAAACTCCTCTATTAACCCTACGTTGCTCCGCCTATCCTGCCAACCTAGTCATATCAGGCCTTCCTCCTATGCTGCTCATCTAGCTCCAGGCCTTATTCTATATCAAGAGTCAAAACTATTTCAGATTCAGCGCCACTCCCACCCCTATTTGCTGTGAATTTGGCATGCAGGCCTATACAAGAAGTCAATGCAAAGTGTAACTTACCATCTGTAAAGTGCAATAACCCATACCAACCAACTGGATTGATTTTTATTTTTTTAATGATTTGACTAAAGCAATCTGGAATCTAATGCTACTGTAATTTTAATGCATTTTGCCCATTTTCACTGCACTATATTGAATATGCTCTCATGTGTATGGCCTTTAATTGGATTGTGACAAATGAACAGGTACAACTTAGTGTGCTTTGTGTTTTGTTCTTTGACGGTTTTATTGTTCAAGCCACTTTTAGTTCACAAATACATTAGTTCATTGTTTTTGTGCCTGTAGGTGGCAGTAGAGACCCGTGCTGTCATCACATGGATGGAAAAGATCCCCTTTGTATTGGGAGGAAACCTGCAGGGTGGGGAGCTGGTGGTGTCATATCCCTTTGACATGGTGCGTTCTCCATGGAAGACCCAGGAATATACAGGAACACCAGATGATCATGTGTTCCGATGGCTGGCCTACTCATACTCCTCTACCCATCGGCATATGACTGACTCCAGCCGAAGGCCTTGCCACTCTGAAGACTTTAACAAAGAGGAGGGCACTGTGAATGGGGCTTCATGGCACACAGTTGCTGGCAGTAAGTGCACTTCCTCTATATAATTCCTTACAGGCAGTACTCACATGTATTGTACGTGTAGATGTTTCAGTAACTTGCCAACATTTATTGTCCTTGTTCAGTAAAAGTATATTTTGGCTCCATAAAGTTCAGGATGGTGCCATCACTTCAGAAACAGAGTAAGTCTTTGGTTTAGATGTAGCAAGCTTGAATTGGGTAATGGAATGGACTTTTGAATTGTAAAGCACAAATCCTACTTTCAGGCTGACAAACACCAGGAAAACACAAGAAAAAGTTGAGATGAGGTGCTAGACTTGGAACTTTAATTCCTCAAAACAGAAAATGTTGGTGGGGCTTCAGGGGCGGACTGATACCTCATGGGGCCCCCAGACAATAGGAGATCATGCAGCAGCCATCTTCATGAAGCAACATTAATGCAGCAGGCCTGCTTGGAGGGGCACCAAGCTTGGTGACATGCAGAGTGGCAGGAGACTTAAAGCTGGTGACCCAACAAAAGGACCAGGAGGGCATTGCCACCTTAACAGAGTCATGGGCCCCTGGTAAAAGTAATGCTCTGGGGCCCCTACCAAGCAGATGGTGCCTGTGGCATGCATAGCGCACCATGGCAAACAATGGGCATGGTCAGTGGGAGGAGGACTGAAAGGAGCACTGAACAGAATCTGTCTGCTGTGTACACTGCACACATATACCACAGGCCTTTTATCCACAAAATACTAAATAGTGTATCACAACTGACAGTCTCACAGACACAAATAAATCTCAGTCAAAGAATCATTTGTTTTTATATAATAAACATTAACATCATATGTTTGTATGTACAAATAAAGGATATTTCTGTCTTACTGAGCCTACCTTACAGAAGAACTTCATCAGGTCTATGTACAGAATAATGTATATGAGTGTATGTATGTGAGTTCAGGGGTCAGGAGTAAGTAACAACATACAGAGTGCAGCAGTCAGGATGAGTGCCATGCTCACATTAGAGTCCTCTCTCACATCAAAGTCCTCAGAATTATCCCTATATATCACAGTCCAAAGAGTCCCCCTTACATCTCAGAGTCCCCAGAGTGCCACCTTGCAGCAGAGCCCCCAGAGTTCCCCCTTACATCAGAGTCTCATTTTACATCAGAGTGCCACCTTGCAGCAGAGCCCCCAGAGTGCCACCTTACACCACATCCTCCTGAGTGCCACTTACACCACAGTCCCCAGAGTGCCACCTTACACCACAGCCCCCAGAGTGCCACTTACACCACAGTCCCCAGAGTGCCACCTTACACCACAGCCTCCTGAGTGCCACTTACACCACAGCCCCCAGAGTGCCACCTTACACCACAGCCCCCAGAGTGCCACCTTACAGCACAACCCCCAGAGTGCCACCTTGCAGCACAACCACCAGAATGCCACTTTACAGCACAGCCCCCAGAATGCCACCTTACAGCACAGCCCCCAGAGTCCCACCCTACAGCACAGCCCCCAGAGTCCCACCCTACAGCACAACCCCCAGAATGCCACCTTACAGCACAGCCCCCAGAATGCCACCTTACAGCACAGCCCCCAGAGTGCCTCCTTTCAGAAGAGCCCCCACAGTGCCACCTTTCATCAGTGTCCCCTTACACACACCTTTTGACCATTATGACATCGCTCAGGTGAGCACCCAGACCTGCTCTGCTGCCATATCTGTGACTAAGCTCATCAGTTCACCATTCGGGTGGCTCAGAATGACACCAAGTGTTTTTTTATGAGCATATCTCTCATGTCTATGGACATGTATGGACAGTTGGCAACTAATCGAGTGGCTTTTTTCTAACATGTCTGTTCAACAGAAGTCGATCGGTAGATCGACTTCTGTTTTTTTTTGGCAGTGGGCACTCATGGATCATACAGTATATAAACAAACATATACAGTATATAGACACAGTATATACACACACACACAAGCACACACACACACCAGCACTTTTCATCTAAAAATCAGCTTGATCCGACACATTCCTGCCACCCCAAGCTTCTGACATGCTGGGACCTGTGGTGCCCCAGCAGCTCAAAGACACGGGAGGTGGTATTGAATGAGAGAAGGAGGCTGTGCAGGAAGGTGTAGCAGAGATTGGGGAAGTTCAGAACAGGCCCTTCTTCCAGAAGCAGAGCAGTTCTTCCCACACAGGCAATTGATCTAACAGCCTCAAAGACAGGAGCCCTGCTAGGGGGATCACAGCCTCTCCCCCTATCTCCTGCCCACCAAGGTAAGCCATCAACAAGACTACACTTTGCTCAGCCCAGCCAGCCTACCTTTTAGTAGGCTGAAGTCCGTCCTCCACTGCAGGCTGTGTTTTCTCCTCCCTCTCCCGGCCCAGCATCTCCTGTAATAAAGTCAAATAAAGCACGCTGGGGAAAGGGGCAGGTACAGTGTGTTCCCATTGGCTGAGGGGGCAGTGGAGAAGTGGCACATTGGTAGCTTTTGTAGATTTTTACAGACACTGGATGTCCATAGAACATTCAGGGATGTAAAAATCACAGATTTCACAGAAATCACAATTTTTTACCAACTGTCCCTGAACTTACTGAAGTTGTCAGGCAGTGCCGAGTGCCCTGAATGGTCAATATGCCCCTGTTGGGCTTAGTGACTAAAGCTTGGATGTTCTATCAAGATGCCATGGCCCTCTTAAGGGGTGGTGGTCTCCCAAATTGAGAAAGCCACACATAATTGTCAAAAAGAGTACCAAACAGTCATCTCAGGGATTTAAAAGGGTGTAAAAGTTATCCAACATGTTTCGGGGTTGACAACCTCCTTTGATCAGGGCAATATTTCCTATTGGACTCTATTTTAGAAACTTTGGGTGGTAATCTATATTAGTCATGATGGACGTATGCTGAGATAATTTACTGAGACAAGCAGCACATGTCCATCACAACTGATATAGATCACTACCCAGAATTTCTAGATCATAGTCCTTTAGGAAACATTGTCATATTAAAGTCCTGATGAAGGGGGACTGTTGGCATCTGAAAAGCATTGGCTACCTTTTATACACCTTCATGTTCCTGCTGTTGCTCTACAATAAATGATCATGGAATCCTAAGATACTTGTCTGGAGCTCTTTTTGTCAATTTTATGTAAAAAACACAAATTTTACCACTTGAAGTATGAAATAAATTGAAAGTATGAAATTTGTGGTTATATTATTAGTGCTGGCTTATATAGCCATACGTAGACACCATCTATGGATTGTCCCCCTGACTTTTATTGGAATAAAGATTTATCTGGACCTCTTAGCAGTGGTGAGATGCTTAATTTCCATTTTTGTTCCATTACACTTCAAGCCAAGGAAACCGTGCAGAACCACTGGGGTAGAACCACCTGGGAACTGGATCATTTGCATCAACATCAATACTTTAAGATAACAATACCAGTGAGATAACTTTATGGGTCTAGCACTATTTTTCCAATTTCTTTAAAGCGGAGCTCCACCCAAAAGAGGAAGTTCCGCTTTAAGCATTTGTCCCACGCTCCCCGTTAAGGATTGGCACCGTTCAGGAGTACGGGGTACTTTCGCTATGATCTCCTAGGTGATCGGAAGCAGAAGTTGTCCTCCCCCCTCTCCCCGTAGTCTTCTGGGACATGTGACAGGTCCCAGAAGACTATGGGTCCATTCACAAAGCACAGCGCTGCTCTCGAATGCACAGTGGGCACCCGGCTATGAAGCCGCAAGCTGTCACAGCCGGGTGCCCACACTGAAGATGCCGGTGCCAGGGAGATAGGATGGCTGGTTAACCTAGCTGCTGTGAGGACACCGCTGGATCGAGAGACAGGTGAGTGTGTGTATTTTAAATATCAGCAGCTACAGTTTTTGTAGCTGCTGACTTTTATTTTTTTTTTTTCAATTTGTCTGGAGCTCCGCTTTATCTATGGTGTCATGCTGTGTTGGCGTACATTGATAATTGTTGGAAATGTATTTTTGTGCAGTGCAGCTGTTGTAGAGCATTGCACTGCAGGGCATAGGAATTACATGCAGCTAGAGAGCAAACACTGCAATGCATTTTAACAATGCAATGCAGTGCATGTCAGAACTCATTTGCAACGCACACCAACTAGCGCACTTTATTTGCACAATAATGTGTGCATGGGTGTGAATGAGCCCCAACCTTGCCTTCATAAAAGACATTGAAAACTGGTATTTACTCATTGCATTATTCTCCCTCTGTTACTGGGCTTCCCGAGGGCTCTTCCAGCAATGGGTGGTCATGTGGATGACAATGTACACAGTTAATTCATTCCACACACTACAATGCTCAACAAACAAGAAAAATCTAATAAGACAAAGGATCCTTGTATTCCATGGGGCCACCTGTTGCGCCAGCATAAATTAGCTGCGTTCTCAAATCCAGGCAAATAACAGACTCAATGGAAATTTTAGTCTATAACCATCCTATTTACATTTAATGGTACAGTAAATGGCAGTTATTAAAAGCAGCTGTGTGAAAAATCAACAAAGACACAATAAACATGCCAACAATCCAACTGGGTTTAATTAAATGTCCTCTGCATTACAGATATCTAGACACTCTTTGCTGTACTTTAAATAAACGTAAAGTTAAAAAAGACTTCAAATCAAAAATCTTTCTGCAAGAGACTCTGTTCTTGGTTAGTTTTACTCAAGGCTTTTATTTCTCAGAAAATATATGCAGGAACTTCACCCCCCCCCCCCCCACACACACACACGCCAAACTGCATCAAATAGTGGGTGTGGTTAAATATCACTAACAGTGGGAACATCCTAAAGTGGCATCAAATACCAGGAATGCATTATGTACAGAGTGCAGAGTTTGGGGAGTCACACACAAAGTGCAGAGTTCAGGGGTGCACTATGCAGAGTTCGAGGGTGTGCTATGTACACAGTGCAGAGAGTGTGCTGCATACAGAGTGCAAAGCTCAGGGTGTGCTACACACAAAGTGCAGAGTTCAGGGGTTCACTATGCAGAGTTCGAGGGTGTGCTATGTACACACAGAGAGTGTGCTGCATACAGAGTGCAGAGTTCAGGGTTGTACTACACACAGAGTGAAAAGCTCAGGGTGTTCTACACACAGAGTGCAGAGTTCAGGGGTGCACTATGTACAGAGTTCGAGGGTGTGCTATGTACATGGTGCAGAGGGTAACTGCATACAGAGTGCAGAGTTCAGGGGTGCACTACACACAGAGTGCAGAGTTCAGGGGTGCACTATGTACAGAGTTCGAGGGTGTGCTATGTACATGGTGCAGAGGGTAACTGCATACAGAGTGCAGAGTTCAGGGGTGCACTACACACAGAGTGCAGAGTTCAGGGGTGCACTATGTACAGAGTTCAAGGGTGTGCTATGAACATTGGGCAGAGGGTGTGCTGCATACAGAGCGCAGAGTTCAGGGGTGCACTACACACAGAGTGCAAAGTTCAGGGGTGCACTACGCACAAATGCAGAGTTCAGAGGTGTGCTACACACAGAATGCAGAGTTCAGGAGTGTGCTATGTACAGAGTTTGAGGGTGTGCTATGTACATGGTACAGAGGGTAAGCTGCATACAGAGTGCAGAGTTCTGGGATGCGCTACGCACACAGTGCAGGATTCAACCTTCTTTTACAGCTGCTAACCTCTGCATCCCCTATCCACATCTCACTTTCACCCCTCTTCAACTCTGGCCTCAGCATGCAAACCCCCCTCTACTGTCCCCATCCCCCCCCCCCAAAAAAAAGCTCCACCATGTTCAACATGTATTACTTTTGTTTCTGTGTTAAGCTGAAGCACCCAGCTGACTGCAGTACCTCCCTGCACATTGTAGGTGGCTCTGCCTCTCTCACTTGCAGGAGGATTATCCAGTGGAGATGTTGGCTTCCGCACTGCACCCTGAGCACCTGCATCTCACGTGTCCTCATCCTGCACTCATTGGAAGCCATTCAGGAGATCTGTGGGATCCAATGGAGACAAGCTGTCACTTGTAAACTCAGAAGCCAGACGTCTGTGTTTACAAGTGATAGTGGTGCGCAGAGGGCCTACGCCAAAGGTGGTAGAACTCAGTTACACCAAGTTCCAGCTGAAAAAAGCCCTGGTTTTATTATCCTATTGTTGCTTTTTTATTCTTTCATTTGTATTTCATGCATATTCTTTATTACGGCCATTAGGTATCAATGACTTCAGCTACCTCCACACCAACTGCTTTGAGATTTCCATATATCTGGACTGTGACAAGTACCCACATGAGAATGAATTGGCTGAACAGTGGGAAAATAACAGAGAGTCTTTGATTGTCTTCATGGAGCAGGTAACTGCGGGAATGTGGGAGCAGAATGCCAGCATGTGGTGTCAATAAGTACACAGTATAACACCAGCCCTTGATACCTGTGAAAGTGTGATGTCAAATTCTCTTATTGGTAAATGTATGGAAAATGTAGTGGCAGCTGGGGGCACCAGTAAATACATCTTGGCAGATTCTGGTATCCGTAAATAAATCACACCTTAGACTGTTTGAAAAGTTTATCGTGGACCACTGGTAACTTAGCATTTGTTGTGGACCATATAATGCAGAGTTCCTATGGTTGAAGATACCCACTAATGGCAACTGTATACAGTATATGCAGCTGGTACTGTGCCTGAGCAGAGAGTGGGATCACTTGATAAACACACTGTAGAACTGAACTAACAGAGAATTTGGCTTTAAAAGAAAAAATAACATAGGTTCTTAAGGGTCCATGTTCTATAATTGTTATGCACATGCAGAAATATATTCCTCCAGTGTTTCACAACCAGAATGTCATTTGGGTTTCCCAGGTGCAGAAAGCACAAAACCTAGTTTGCCCTGTATTAGTATCATGAGTTGCCATTGTGTCATTGGGGAGTTTTGTGATGGCTAACTATGATTTGGAGGCTCTGTGGTGGGGGGTTTGTGACTGGGAGGGTCTGTGATGGGAGGACTCTGATGTGATGGAGACTCCTGTATAAAGGGCCTCTGATGTATTGGGGTGACACTGATGTGATGGGGCTCTCATTTATTGGGATAGTCTGAAGTGAGAGGGTGACTATGATGTGAAGGGGGTCCTCTAATGTGATGGGGCACTTCTGATGTGATGGTGTAATCTCTGATTGGAAAGTGGGCCTCCGATGTGAAGTTATATTTTTCAAGGCGGTTGTGTGCATCATGCCAGACTCAGGTTTTTCCATTGATAAGCAGCATTTATGTTTTTTTACATTCTAGACCAGGCATCACTAAATGGCAGACACTCGGTCCGAATACGGACCAAGTGACAGTCCTGTCTGGACCGTGGCCACATCATACCACTTAGCAGCCTGAGTGGACTCCCCTCCTCCCGCTGCTGCAGCTGTTAATAATTGGGAGGAATGGCAGGGCACACTCCTGTTCTGTAAGTACTCTTCTGCCGTGGCTGTCATTGCTGCTGCTGCTGAATTTCAGCAGGGAAGAGGGCAGGAGGAATGGAAGGAAGGACTTCTCATCTGAATGTACCGGCTCGCCTCTGCTGAACTGAGAGCAGGGAGGAGGGCAGGAAACACTGCAGGTCTACAATGGAGTGGGGAAGGGGAGCCAACCTTTCATGCAGGTCCTTTGCTTTTTACCAGGAAGAGTTGGGCAGCTTCCATCCTCAGTGGAAATCTTCTATGCCTCCCCTTCTCCTCCCTGCTCGGAGTTCTGCGGCGGCAAGCTGGTATATTCAAAAGAAGAATCCGTCCTTCCATTCCTCCCACTCTCCTCTCTGCTCCAAGTTCAGTGGTGGCGATGGCAAGCCAGTACATTCAGAAGAGGAGTCCTTCCTTCCAATCCTCCCTTCCTTTCCCTGCTGTGATTTCAACAGCAGCGGTGATGATGGCAGCGGCAGATGAGTACATATAGAACAGGAGTCTACCTCGCCATTCCTCCCGCCCTCCACAATGTGTTCAGGTGGGAGGCTGTGAAGTGAGAGGTGGAAGCTGTGATATGGGGGGCTGTGAAGTGAGAGAAGGGAGCTGTGATATGGGGGGCTGTGAAGTGAGAGGGGGGAGCTGTGATATGGGGGGCTGTGAAATGGGGGGGCTGTGGGAGGGGGATGCTGTGATATGGGGGTGCTGTTAGAGAAGGAAGCTGTGATATGGGGGGCTGTGAAGTGAGAGGGGGCAGCTGTGATATGGGGGACTGAGAAGTGAGAGGGGGGAGCTGGGATATGGGGTCTGTGACGCGAGGGGGAGGAGCTGTGAAATGGGGGGCTATGATAGGAGGGAGTTGTGATTTGAGAGGGGGGAGCTATAATACTGGGGGGCTTTGATGTGAGAAGGAGAGCTGTGATATTGGGGGCTGTGATGTGATGAGAGCTGTTATATGGGGGAACTGTGATATGGGGGGCTGTGATGTGAGAGGAGAACGCTGTGATATGAAGGGTCTGTGATGCCAGGAGAGGGGGAGCTGTGATGTGGGGGAGTGTGATTGCAAGTGTGATTGCAAGGGGGACTGTGATGTCATGGAAAGACTGTGATGTGAAGGGGGGCTGTGATGGAAGCGGGACTATAATGTTGGGGTGCTCTGATGTGAAAGGGAGTTGTGATGTACAGGGGGCTGTGATAGGAAAGGGGGGACTGAGGACATTAATGCAAAGGGGGCTGTAATGTGAAAGACCTGAGTAATAGAAGAAAAAGAGTTTTGGACCTCTGCAGAAAGAAAATGTTACCTACTGGACCTCCGTGAATTTTAATTCAGTACTCCTGTTCTAGACTATGGTTCTTCATAATTTGCATACTTTTAAAGGATGCCATGACTGAAAAAAGGTTGAGAAAAGCTGCCTTACCCAAAGCCTAACATTTAAGCTAACCTTTAAAATGAGCCCACTGACATTGTTGCATTGTTGTAACAAACGTTTCAATGAGCATTACCACAACACCTATATAATGTGGTGTGGTGCTATGGCGTTCCCTTTGAATGATACCCCAGGGCTCCACCAGTACACCTATGTTGCAGGGTACCACAATGCATGGTAATGCACTAATTTTGAAAATCTAGTGAATGACCAGTTTTCTTTGCATTGTGGTGTGTTGGCAGTCTTAATGCAAAACATAATAATGCACAAAAAAAACACAAGCTAACCTGCGTTCATTTATGCACAAAAAACAAAGTGGATATATCTAAATGGGTCCCTAACTTTCCCCATAATACTTAAAGGATAAGTTCACCTTTTTGACAAAAATAATAAATGCACATTTTTTTGCAGGTAAAAAAATGTGCACTTCATTTTTTTTTGTCTGCAGGAGCCTGGAAAGCATTACATCAGCGATCAGTAGATTGCTGATGCCATGCATGTCTCCTGCAGACCTGTCAGAATATCTGCTTGCCACACGGGATGTATGAGCAAGCAGATATTCTGACAGGAAGCTTCAATGAACTACTACGGCGCTCCACAGCTAGTACTAGTACAGATAGTGCGGGGGAAATTCTTCCTGTACTATCTGTCAAAGGGAGGGGGGTCAGCTGGCGCGGCTGCAGCTATGGGAACATGTTACATGTTCCACCCTAAAAATGGGTGGAACTTGTAACATGCTCCCAAAGTTGAACTTATCCTTTAACCTGAACCTTAAACTGAACCCTTAACATATAATCTCACCCATAACTAACTCTTTTTCTTGATTCAGTCTTGAATTAGGAGATACTATCATGACTGTAAAAACTTTAAACTACAGCAATTTAAATGTAGGTTCAGTGCATTTCCTTGGCATGTAGGTTGCATCCATACTTGGTTCTCTTGCAGAACGTTTTACACCTAGAATTATAAGCATCGAAAACCTCCAGGTGTGTACCCCTGCTGTGGGTCCTTCATCCTCCCAGCTCACCAGTGATGTAGCAGATGGGGAGAAGGGATGGGCACAGGGACAGTCGAAAGTGTTAAATGCTGAGATCTTAAATCACTGCAAGTGAACAAGGTTTGATGATTTTGCCCGAGGTGATTGTAGCCCTATCAGTTCACTTGTTACAAAAACAATTACTTGTGATCATTTTTTTATTTGCACTAACATCCAAATTTTCAGGACAAATTCTCGAGGTGTACCACCTTCTTCAAGGTTCAAGGTCCAAGCAGTATGCTTGGACCATGTCTGTAACATGGGCCCTCAGACGGCACTGCATTAAAAACAGGTATGAGCCTGTGATGGAAATCACTGGATGGGGCCCAGCAATACTTCCAAATATCACAGTTTATGAACACAGTTCGCCATCCAAAATGCAAGGTAAAACTGTCATGCAAAGAAGAAGCCATATCTTAACATGATCCAGAAACACCGCTGTCTTCTCTAGGTCAAAGCTCATTTAAAATGGTTTGCTGCAAACTGGAAACTGTTCTGTGCTCAGATGAATCAAAATGTGAAATTCTTTTTGGCAACCATTGGCGCCGCCTCCTAAAGAGACTAAAGAGCAGAGGGACGTTCCGGTTTGTTATCAGCTTAAAAGCCTGCATCTCTGATGGTATGAGGGTGCATTAGTGCATATGGAATGGGCAGTTTGCACCTCTAGAAAGGCACCATCAGTGCTGAAAGATATTTAGGTTTTAGAGCAGCATATGCTCCCATCCAGACATCATCTTTTTCAGGGAAGGCCTCGCATATTTCCACAGGACAATGCTAATCCGCATACTGCATCTATGATGACAGCATGGCTACATTGCAGAAGAGTCCAGGTACTTAACAAGCCTGCCTGCAGTCCAGACCTTTCACCATTTGTAAATATTTGGTGCATCTTGAAACAAAAAAATACCACAAAAAAGACCCAGAACTGTTGAGCGGTTAGAATCCTAAATAAGGCAATAATGGGGCAACATTCCCAAAACTTCAGCAACTGGTCTCAGTTCCTAGACATTTAGAAAGTAAAAGAGGAGGGGATGCTACAACATGGCCCTGTCCCAACTTTTTTGAGACATGTTGCTGCTATCAATTTCAAAATGACATTTTTTCCCCCTAAATTGTACATTTATTTAGTTTAAACATTTGATATGTTATCTATTTTCTATAGTGAATTAAGTATGGGTTTATGTAATTTGCTAAATCATTGCATTTTGTTTTTATGTAGATTTTACACACTGTCCCAACTCCCAACTAATGTTGAAAATGACAAAACTTAAACAAGCCACCATAGAGAATTCTTATTCCATCTTCCTGCCACTGGAAAGAATGGATTACAGCTGGTTTAGAGGGGCATATGTTTTTTGGCAAATTAAAGTTGGGAAAAAACTCTATAAAGTGATGAAATTATCTGTGAAAGAGATTTTGCTGTGTTATTTTCACCTTAGATGAAATGTGGCAAAAATCAGCCGAGAGAACGCCTAGATCAGCCAAAAGTAAGGAATTTAATACTCCGGAGTTCACTTTAGGCAAAGGAGCTACTACAAACATTTGCAGATACGTATGTGAAACTATCCTTTCCTATGGTAACTCAGAGAGTAGATATTGCAACTTACAATGTGGTGCAGTCTTCAGTCTTTTCCAAGTATTTCTATTTTAAGATATGCATTTGAAAGAGATTAAAAAAAAAAATCTTTTGAATTCCAACCTTGGGGCAGAGGTTTGGGGAAAGACCTTTTCATTTTAACCAAACCCTATAAAGACATGGTTCGGTTTGGTTTAGTTTTGGGTGGAGGAACACAAGTGACTTGCACAGAGCCCCAACCTCAAATCTACTAAACACCTTCAGTATGAATTGGAACTCCGATTGTGAGCCAAAACTTAAATCCAAACCTCATAAATCTCTTTTGGCTCACGTTATCATCCAGCCTCACAAATGCTCTTTTGGCTGAATGGACACAGCTTTTAAAAACACCTGCACATGGCTGTATATTGCAGGTGAAAATGATAAAATTTATTATTAGAATGATAAATTCTGACTATGCTGCTTTTCTCACAATTCACATAAAGCATGTGTGCAGATTTCTAGAAAGCAGATAAACACCCTTTTATTTCATATATGTGTTCCTTCAAAAATCAAGAAACAAGAGATCCCTGTGCTCAAATCCATACAGCTAGTGCATGCATTTATCCATCAGGTGCTAAAGGGGTGTAACCACATTAACTCTAGAAATTCTGAAGGACCCTCTGCACACTGGTATATACCCTTTCAAGCAAACTATGCAACAAATAGGGATATTTGGTTCACACATATTGCAATACATGGTTAAGCTGGCCAACTGCGTGAAAGTAATCCCTCTATGGCCAGTCCTACTCTGCCCTGCCTACACAAGTGCTACTGTGGACACAATGCTAACATAGGGGAAAAGACACAATGGGGAGAGCTACAAGGTTCACGCTTTGACGCAGTTGGCCAGCTTAAACATGTATTGCAATATGTGTGAACCAAATATCCCTATTTGTTGCATAGTTTGCTTGAAAGGGTACATACCAGTGTGCAGAGGGTCCTTCAGAATTCCTTCAAAAATCAAGGACACGTCCAGTTCACAGGGGGTTGTATTATTAAAGGTAAATAGACTGTTCACTTTGCAAGGGAACCTCACCCAGAGCTTAGTGAAAGAGGCAAAGCTGTTTGCATCCATCATCCAAACATTTGCAAGCAAAAATGCTGTCTTTTTTTTGCACGATTATTGTTGCTGAATATTGTTTGCAAAGTGACATTTTAGCATATTCACTGGACTTTGGAAAAATGTATCTTGCATAATGCAAATTCCCTGAAGTGAATAGCCTATTTGCTTCTGAAAAAAAGCTCTGTGGTGTCTGTTCTGTAAGCTTGATGGCCAACAGAGATACTGTATATATAGTAAGAAATGAGCTCACTGTGCGCATCAGTAATATAGTAGCCCAAAGCAAAGGAAGGGGGTGGAGCAGAGGCATGAAATCTGAAGGCTTTGAAAACTGTTCTTACTCTCCTTTTAAAATGCAGTCATATACCACAGTAGTGTGGGTGGACTAAGCGTATTACTTTTCAAGACATTTAGCAGGTAAACCACTTCCTATTTCAGCAATGTGTTTAGCTATTTAATTGGAGTAACCCTTTAACCCCTTAAAGTTCTTATTATTGCTGTGAATATCACTACAATGATTAGTAAAATCTTGTATATTTGAATAGGGGTTTAAATATGAAATGTTAGTTATTGCAGCATTATTAGTGTAGTCAGATCTGTGTGTTTTTTTTTAATACTTTTCTATTAATCAGACCAGAGTCCATTCAATTGATCTATGCTTTAATTCATTGGGTTAATTTCTTGTCCATCCAGCCACTAGTAATGATGACTTGGACTTGGCGGAACTAAGGCAAGCCATAGATGATATGATTTTCTTTCCTGCAACTGCGGATGAAGGGAAAGAAAATCGTTTGATTCCCCCATTAACACAGTCAGTGTTGGAGGAATCGCTCCCGCGGAGCTACTGTGTTCTGCTGGTGGTGAGCCTTGCCTGCCAGCTGAGCATGATTACTACTAGTGGCTATAAGCCCTTATGCACAACGTTAGCTCTGTAAAGTCATGTTTAAAACATGAGTTTTTCAGCTTTTTTTTCGTTTTTGCATTAGCGTTTAGCGGCATTCTGTTTATCGGAGTTTTCCCGTGTCTTTCCGCGTTTGCATTTTAGCTTTTTTTTTACAAAAAAGGTCCAAAACGCTCATTTTTGGCGGTTTACCACATTTTACTGCGTTTTGCCACGTTTTTTCAGCGTTAGAACATTACAGCTAAAAAACTCCTCTAGAAATCCACTAGTCCTGGGTTTTTTTTCCCAGCCAAAAAACGTCCCTGCCAAAAAACGTTGATTACAGTCTATGTGTGCATGGACACATAGGATAACATGCTGGGGACTTTACAAGCTGTAGAAAAAAACGTCAAAAGCCAAAAACAGCAGGTGTAAAAATGTCAAGTGTGCATGAGGACTAGGTGTCGGCAGTAATCGTATGTAAAAAATCTGAAAGGCTGGTTGTACTGAAGTCAACGATGGATCAACTTCAGTAAAACCGGCCTACCCATGGATGGATCAAATCTCGGCCAAATCTGGCTGAGATTCGATCTATCTATGGCCAGCTTAACAGACAACTGCAGCCAATATTGTGATGACCAATAAAGCTTTCTCTGTATATATTATCCTATTGGTCTTAGTATATTTTTACATATTGGTGCAATACTGAAGAAAAACAAAGATATTATGGTTCATGATGGCTTATAGGCAACAAATGTTAATTCTTGCACAGGAATTTGTAGTTCAAGGCTTGGAAACTAAATAGAGACTTAAGGGAAATAAATATAATTTCTTACAAGCTTGTCATTCTTTGTATTTTGAATATTATTAATATTCTTTAGGTGATCATGATTGACGTCGGCCTTGTGTTTATTCCCCTTTGTTTCTTCAGGTTCACCGTGGGATTAAGGGTATTGTGAAGGATATGTATGGGCGAGGAATTGGAAATGCTGTTATATCTGTGGAAGGAATCAATCATGACATACGTACAGGTCAGTGACAGTAGTATGCTGCGCAGAACAAATTATTCAGTTTTGAATGGAGTGGGATAGGGCTTGACAGAGATCTCTGCAAGTTTAGAAGCGGTATTTCTTTTTTGTTTTAATCTTTTTTAAAGAAATGAGATAACAAACATAGTCACATGCCATGACTACTCAGGAACAGCTGAATAATAGAAACAACAGCTGAAACCAATTGGGAAGTATAGTGTTCAATTTAGTGTTTAGTCAGAGGCAAAGAACATCCATGTTTGTCACTGAAATTCAGAAAAAGTCCTATGACAACAAGAAAGAATGCTCGCAAAAAATAGAATTAGAAAACCTCCAAGGTCCATTGTCAACTGTAGGTTGCTCTCCAAAGTCTTCCAAGTTTTTGGGAGATCTCTTTCTAACTTTGCTATGTCCTTGACATACATCACCTAAGTTGGGCAGTGGCTTTTATCCTGAGCTAATTATTCCATATATTTCTAAGAGAGACAAGTAGCTCATGCATGTATGCCTTTAGAGAGTATGGAATTAAATTGCTTAAGGCAAAAAGACTAATCACTTTATAAAGGAAGTTGCACTTTGCAAGGGAATGTTCTGAGTTTAGAGAATAAGGTGAAGCTCTACAAATATCCATCATCCAATCATGTGCAAGCAAAAATATTGTATTTTATTTTTCCTGCACATGACTGGGTATTCTTCTTTCACTCACTGAGCTCTGGAGAAAAATTTTCTCGCAAAGTGAAACCTCCTTACAAAGCAAACAGCCTGTTTCTCTTTGGTAAATCAACCCCAATAGCTGAAAGTGAGCATTGCTACTATTACTGCTGTATTAAAGAGAACTAACTATGATAGGTCTTACCCAAGAATATTCCATTAAACATTTATGGTTTACCTGAAAAAAAGTGTTGTCTTTGCCTTTCTTTCAGTCTTCTTGCCCTGTATGTTCTTGACTCTTCAGTTTGAGGGCTCATTCACATCAGTTAACTATGTTGATCTACAGAGATCAATGAAGGCTCAATGCCTGGGCACACAGAAAATGATTGTGTTCTATGTGTCCTGTGAGTTATATAAAAATGCAGACATGCTGCAAATTCCAGCAATGTGCCAGAGCTCACCTGAAGTTACCACTCACTGCACCGCAGTGGTTCGTAGAAACAACACAAGGCACTCTTCACCCAAGCACATCAGAAATCAGCCCCCATGATAAATTGGATAGTTTTAGCATGGGGGCTAATGTGATCCAAACCTGAGTCAGGGTGTGAGAGGTCCTCCTGTTATTTGTCTAATTTCCCACAATGCGTATTCAGGATTTGGAAAACCACGCGTGATCTTAGACACTTAACAAGGGAGCAACTGTCAAATACAACGTGACCTATGGCATTCACTACAAAGAGGGAGACTCCTGTAAAGTAAGGAAAGCTGAATAAAGAAGGAAATAAAATATTTTCATAAAAACTCCAGCACATGTATAATCACTTAATACTCTTTTCTTTATGTAAGCCATTCGTGACTGGTTCTCTTTAAAAACAGGCGCAGTCTGGCAAGAAAAAAAGAAAGGGTTTTAGGAGGTTTGAGTTCCAGAGACATTATAAAACAGCAAGGAGCATTAAACCCTACCCTGCAACCCACACGCCCAAAATGGCATGATATATATTTGGTGGGATTGCAGGGTAAATCCAGATTAGAAGCTGAAGCCTGTACTGAAAGCATTTTGCTTTGAATTGCAAAACAAAGGTTTGCTTTAAAAGCTAGATTCGCCTTTGCCATAAAATAGTGCAGCAAAGGACCTCAGTAGGCAGTGTCAGATTTAGAAGAGGGCACTAGGGACAACTGCCCTGGGCCCCCTCACAGAAAGGCACCCTCTATACAAAAATAATATAAAACAATATAAAAAAAAAATTATATAAAATAATACATAAATAATTTAAAATTATATATTTAACAAAAATTGTTTTTATTAAATGTATCTTGGGGAATGACATTTTGGCTGTCATCCTCTGTAAAAGGCTTTTCTCTGGACTGGTATATTGTATTGTTTTTAAAAACAAATTTTGGCAGCTCAAGCGAACCACACATAGAGCGACTATGACTGCATGTATGTGTGCATGCCTGACCTCAGAATGACGTTGTGTAACTGCCATTGAGAATGTAAACATACACTGTGCATGAGGGGCCCCCCAAACCTCAAGTGCCTGAGCCCCCAAAAGTCTAAGTCTGGCTTTAACAGAAGGGATTAAAAAAAACTGTAAAAGGTTAAGTCATTTTATTGTCATACTTGTAGACCATTTGAGCCCAACCGTCCCGAAAGCCTGGTCGAAAATTCCCCAGTTAGCCATCTACATGTCCTTCTTTGTTGCTGGAATGCAAACTATTGGTTTTTACTCCTGTAATTATGTATGATTCTGAACTCTCCTTCCACATAAATAGTAATATAATCCTCCATGGATAGAGGTCAGAGAACTCTTGTTAACTGATTGTGCAATACAGTAATACAGTGGTTCCTGTTCTGCAGTATGTGATAGCACTTTATTAGCCTAAGTTGCCATAGTGCACTGCTGTTATTGCTGTATATGTTACAGGATCTTTGGCTACATTTGGACTTTCTCTGTCTCTGGTGATATCGTTGGACTGGATAGAACGAGGTGGGAGCATTTGTGAGCCAATACCCATGTTTGTGTAGCAGTCTCTGAGATCACTGCATCTTGGGTAATATTAGGTTATAGTGAATAGCATTAACTGTTATGAGTCATTAGGATGGGCTGTAGTGTTGAGATGGATATGAGAGGTCAGGTGGATGGAGTCCCAGAAAAGTCATATTGCAAGAGTCATGCTATTGATTTGCTGTTATTTATTTATTTATCGAGTTTATATAGCGCCAAAGGGTTTGCTCAGCGCTGTACAATAGAGGGGGGACAATACATGAAACAGAACAGTAGCATCAAACAGTACACAAGGGGTAAGAGGGCCCTACTCTTTCGAGCTTACAATCTAGGAGGGAGGGGGTAGAGGCACAGGAGGAGTTATTACCTGCAGCGGCTCTCTTTGTAACAAAACTTACTTTAAAGTGATTGTAAAGGAAAATTTTATTTTTATTTTTGGCACTTCTGGCTCCTCCCCACTTATGAGTGCCCCCATAACAAGCTGCTTGCTATGGGGGAACTCGTGGAGGCTTGATCCCAATCCGGTCTCTGTGTGGCCATTGACATACAGATCATGCCCCCCCCCCCCGCTTCCTCCTCACAGGCTATTATTGACAGTATGCAAACAGAAGAAGGATCAGCCGCACACTGGAGAATTGATGAATATAGTGTATATTTATTGATCCATAGGGCACACAAAACACCAGGACATGAATACAGGACCTATTAACGCGTTTCACATGATCTCGTGCTTAACCATAGCGAAGAAAACAACAAAAGTGCTGTCTTATATAGGAGTTAGTATGATTGACAGTATCAAGGACCAATGGCTCCCGCTGCTGCCTCCATTCCCAGTGAGGAGGGAGAGAGTGTAGAGAGCGCTGGATCAAGATCAGGCTCAGGTAAGTGGAGGGAAGGGGAACTGATTTCAGAATGTTTTTTACCTTAATGCAGAAAATGCAAGTGATTGTAAACCCTTACATATACCCAGTGAAGTGACTGGCCTCCGGTGACACACACAGAGGAAACCAATCCTCCTACATAAGTTGTGCCTGTCTATCTGCAGTCTTCTTTTCTCTACATCCATTCAAACTGCTGGTCAGAAAAAAGGGGGCAAAGAGCTGATTGGAGGAAAGAGTCCCCCCTTCTCCACACAGAACACTGGAACAGAGATGAGAATGTCAATATGCTGGTGGTCGATCCCCTGTCACCATTATTCTCTTGGTGTCAGGAGAGAACTTGTCAGAAGTGACTCTTGCTGATAGTAGAGAAACAAACTAGCAGACAGAAATGACATTTAGTGCTCTTAATTGAGACAAATACACACTATACTTTGTTCATATTTCATGTCTGAGGTTTACAACCACTTTAAGCAAATCAGACTCTCATCTTTTATGATTTCCAAGACTTAGCAATAAATCAGTATTCATAGTCTCTGTGTGACTTTTATAGTCTTAGAACTGCTTGTATCAAGGGAGGTTTTAAAAATGCTGTTTTAATGCCTCCTCTTCTGTATAATGCATCTCATATCTCCCTGCAGAGAAAAACACAGATCGTCAATACCAATGTTCTTCTTAAAATGCTAGTTGCCTGTGTGTCTCTGAATTCAATACTTTAACCGCTCTCCTGAGGATTTACCCCCCTCCCTGACCAGGCCATTTTTTGCGTTACGGCGCTGCGTTACTTTAACTGACAATTGCGTGGTCATGCAACGCTGTATCCAAATTACATTTACGTTCTTTTTTATCCCATGAGTTGAGCTTTCTTTTGGTGGTATTTGATCTCCTGTGCGTTTTTTATTTGTTGCACTATTAAAAAAAAAGGCAGACAATTTTGAGAAAAAAAAATATTTTTGACTTTTTGCTATTAAAAATGTCCACTAAAAAATTAAAAAAAAATCAAATTTCATCATAAATTTAGGCCAAAATGTATTCTGCTACATGTCTTTGCTAACAATATCCTAATACGTGTAAATTAATTGGTTTATGAGTAAGTTATAGTGTTTACAAATGGTGGTACATATACTGGGATTTTTTTTATTTTATTTTATTTTTACTAATATTAGCGGAGATCAATGACTTATAGCAGGACTGCAGGACTGTGGCGGGCATTCTGACACTGGGGGGAACTGACTTGGTGTCACTGACATCCCCAGTGACACCAATACAGTGATCAGTGCTAAAAAAAAACACTGACACTGTACTAATGGCACTGGGCAGGAAGGGGTTAACATGAGCGGCAATCAAAGGGTTAACTGTGTGCTGTGAGTGTTTTACTATGGGGCGGTATCTGTGTGCTTCACTTTAAGCACACTGCTTTGGATGGCTGTGCTGCCCGAGCTGACAGGGAAGAGAACTGTTAGTAAACAAAACAGTTCTCCTCCCTGTCGGAGATCTTCGGTAATTATTGGGCGAGTAATCACCGTCCGGGATCCAGTGATTGACAGCTGTGGCCGCGAATGGCGGCGCGGGTAGTGCGTGCCCCCTACCCGGAAATGCAAAATCACGTATAGATACATGATTTTTCACACCTGTGCCGCCCTGTAGCAGTATTTCTGCTATAGGGCAGTCGGAAATCGGTTAAATAAAGTATTGAAGCCAGAGGGTCAGCATGATAGCCAGGCACCTGGCTTATCAGAAGCAGGTAACAATGGCATCCCCCATATTGATCTTGATGATATGGCTACTTTAAGAGGGATCTGTAGGGCTATGTTAAATGATTTATGTGCAAAGACACTTGGGAGTCTTAGAAACCAGATTATGTTGGGGCCTTTATAAAGTCCTCTCGCTGCCATGGTGCGCACCATACATGGAATTACACCCCTTAATATTTGCTAGGATACACAAATAAAACACTCTCATTACTATGCTGGCATGTGAAAGCATTTCTTACAGTTTATAACTACTTCAGCCTTCCCAGCTCTGGGGACGTGGAGTTACACATTCTCTGGAAATATCTCCCGTCTTAATGACTTTGCCTGATGGAAAGCTGCTTTCATCCTCCCCTTGTCTGTACCCCACCTCTGGCACAACCAAAGGTGCGTCCCGTAATCTGCTCCCGGAGCCCTTTATTACCCATAACTCTCTGCAGCGTGAATAGAAACAGACCTAGTTACAGTGCACCTCCAATTACCTCTTTGTGAGGAGCGAGGGCTACACGGGCCTCTAATCTTTGTCAAATGACTAAAAAGTTACGTGGCTCAATGAAGGCACATGAAATAATACTTGTAGACTGCAAGCATTGTGTGTTTTCCAGATTTCTCATTGTGACGTGACTCAATCTTTATTTTTCTGACCTTCTATTCTGAACGGTGAACCATGTATCCAAATATCTTTGGATTAGAAGCCATAACATTTGGCAGATACTTGGCCAAAATTTCTGAAAGTAGTAACAGATGTGGGATATTAAACACAAATTTCCAGGACAAAATGGAATTTCATTATTTGTTGGGGGCCCCCTTCAGATATTACTGAGGAGTCCTTGCTTACAAGAGACCCCTTTAAACAATATAGGGGTACCACTGTTCTTTAAAGTGTCCCTGCACCCAGACTATGGACAACCACTATTATATTATTAATGATTTAACAGGCATTATTAATGTTTTAACAGAGCTATGGATGGTCTGATCGGACCGTCAATGTGAAAGGAGCCTAAGGGGAAAAAGATTTCAGGGCTTCTGTTGTAAACTGTTGTAAACTATGAAGATGATTTTTTTCGCAATTCCTATAGCTACAAAGGTGAATTATTATTATTATTAATTATTATTATACAGTATTTATATAGCGCCAAAGGGTTTGCTCAGCACTGTACAGTAGCAAGGGGGACAGAACATGAGACAAGACAGTAACAATACAATACACGAGGGGTTCGAGGGCCCTGCTCTTTCGAGCTTACAATCTAGGAGGGAGGGGAAGGTGGTACAGGAGGAGATGGCTGTGGGGGATGGAGTGGTGGGAGGAGTGGAGGAGGTTAGTTGTTAGGTGAGGTCAGGTGTTAGGTGAGGTTGGGGTAGGCTTCCCTGAATGAGGGCTGTGGGTTGTTTAGGCTCATTGCACACTACTGCAATGCAATATTGCTGAGACTTTTAGTGCGCTCATGTAGTGCGACTTTGATGCAACTTGCATTTCTGCATATTCTATGGGGCCAAGTCACACTGTAAATTTTTGTTTATTAAAAATCTTACAAACAAACAACATAATAAAAAACATATATACATAATAAAAAAATATATATAATTAAACAAAAACAGCTTACTTCATCAAGGAAAACAAACAGCCTTTTTGCCAGAAAAAAAACAAAACAGAACCAATCATATTTTAATATTATTATTATCTTTACTGTATATTGCACCTTAACAAACCCGACCATCACCTAAACACACCCTCAGGCTAAGAAACAATTATTATTATTATACAGTATTTATAAAATTAAACATTGATCCCATGCATGCAGCCTTTTTTCAAAAATCTGATCTTACAAAAATCTAGGGGACGTGAGAAGACAGAAAGAGAAGCCACGCCCCCAGAGACTGACAGACAGCAGCTACGGAGATCTGACAATCCTCCACGCCTTTGTCCAGGCTCCCGGCCGCCACCTGTCCTTCTCAAGACCCCAAATCTTCCCAACCTCAGCCAGAATGTTGTGCACCACCACCTCAACAGGAAGGACTTTTTTGTGAATGGAAACCTGACTCCGGGCATTCCACGTGTAGTAACGGACTTCTAAGCTAACTAGAAAAAGTGTCTCAAAATTAAAGTCCCAGTGAGTTTGAAAGGCACTGTAAGTCCACTCCGCGTAACTCAAGCGGGAAAGGAAAGGATCCCCAGAGCCCCACCTACCCACTTGTAGACTTCTATATTGAAGGGGCACTGAAACAAGAAATGGTCCATCATCTCCTCCACCCCACCGCACTCTACTCTTGGACAACCACGGTTCTCTGCAGAGCGATGCTTCAGGTTGCCCTTCACGTAGATTGTGCCATGGAACGAGAGCCAGGCCAAATCCCGAAACTTTAAAAGGATTCTCTCCTTAACTTCACTTTAAGACTTTTGAAGTGTCAGAGGTCCAAGTCTGTACAGAAAGGGGCATACTGGCAGGATCAACACTGACGATGGATGGGGAACTGAGCACTGAGCATTAAGTAATGAGAGGCCACATATGTTGATATACTATTGACAGTAAAAATTTTGATTTTGCTTGTACATACACTTTCATGGTCTTGCTATTGTGATTGTAGGGATGGTAAGAATGAGGTAAGGTAATGTTTCTTTGTGGCATTCAAGAAAAATTGTTGATAGAACAGCCATCTCCCAGAGATGCCTTTGTATTATAGATTATTGCTGTTGCTGTTGGTAAAATGTGATGAAATATATCAACAAATTGAATTTTGATCTTTTATTCGATGTAGAAGATGAAAGCATCTTTGTTACTTGGCAGTGTGATATCTTTCAGGCTTACAAACATTATCACTCATAGAATGCCTAAGCCTTTGTGCTTCAGTAGAAGCAAGTGATGACTTTTATTGGAATAAAGTCATAGCTGGACCTTTTAGCAGTGGTGTGGTACTTCAGTTTACATTTTTGTTACATTAAAATGAATGGACTGCCACGGAACCAAAACGTCCCCAAAAATCTGATGTGCCACTAATTTTGTAACACAACCAAAGATCATTGTGGCATGCTGTCATGCGTGCGCGTTTCCTTCATTCAAACTGAATGGCACTGCAGTACATGTAACATGTGGTGTTGCGCTGTTGCGTCCTTAAAGTGTTACTAAACCCACAACAGTAAAATCAGTCTGTATATGCAGTAAAGCACGCATGTTATACTTACTGTGGAACCTAAGTGGTTAATCCTCTGCATTGTATAAAAAGGCTATTTGATCCTTTCTTCTCTGCCCCTCCTCTTGTTGAAATGTCTACCTGATACAGACTGAATCCGTAGTCACATGCACATGCTCAGTTTGGTGTGTATTGCTAGAGAGGTTTTGTTTTTTTTTTTCTTTGGGAAATGTCTAGAGTGTGATCAGCACAGGGCCAATCGTGTGTCCAGACAGAGGATCGGGACTTTCACATCCGCCTAGAGTAGAAAGAAAACTCCTCCTATAAGCTTCAACCAGAGCTCTGCTGAAATCACAAGACTGCGCTAACTTCTGATGAGAAAAGTTATTTAGCAGTTTATATTTACTAAAATAATTGCATTTCCATGTTGTGAGTACTGTGGGAGACCAGATATAGTGAATGCAGGGTCCTGGGTTTAGTATCACTTTAAGGCTCCATTCACACTAATGCGACTTCAAAGTAGTGTGATTTCAACTGTGACTTTGGAGCGCAAGTTTGATTCAACTTTGGATGGGTGAGACTTGGATTCGACTTTGGCTTTGACCAAGGATAATGGACAACTGTTGCAAAACTGTCACATGTATAACACTTAGGTGCGACTTTCATGCAACTTTTGAGGGTTTACATTGCAGTCTATGGCACTCAAGTTGGACCAAAGTAGTACAGGAACTTTTTTTAAATCATATTTGAACGGTTGTCATTAAAAGACATGGGTGGGACTTGCCATGTGACTTTAGTGTCTGAAGTCGCATAACAAGTTGCACAAGTGTAAATGGAGCCTAAGAGAAAGATGTAGCTAACCATTGCTGACCTCTCCTGAAAATGATAGCTGCCTGGCTATCATATTGATGCTGTCACATCAATCAATGCTTGAACAAGTATGAAGTGTTCAGTGGGTATTTGCATGCTTTCTTCAGTACTTTGGCTATGCTGTCTGGCAGGGGTGTCTGGATCACCAGTCTTACTGACAGGAATTACAAATCGTTTGGCATGTAGAGCAGTTCACAAATATGCATTCTCTATTTTTTTTTTTCAACAGTGTACTCAACTAAAATGTAACCATGACATATCGGTAAATTAAAAACACATACATCAGGTAAATGGCAGCTGACTGGAACTTGTCCAGCGTCTTTTTTACCTTCCCGGATCAGCAAAAGAAAGAGCATAGATGAGTATCATTACTAGAAACACTATTTCTCATTCCACGCATTCCACAGCTTCCTATTTACAAAACTTCAAATCCATTTGACATAGAAGCTGCAGGGAACTTTGAAACAGACCCTTTCTTTTCTGAACTGAAGGACCAACATTGTTTAAATATTTTGGGTGGAAAAAGATCTTATATTTCTCTGCACAGAAATGGCTCCGACAATCTCCCGAGAAAATAGCGCAGGGTGGGCGCATTTCGGGGCCTTTCATTAACTAGCGCTACGTCTTCTCAAGTGTAAAAGATTACAAAAACAGTATCCCATTAATCTTCTCCTCCTTTTCTTTTATCCTAAAACAACCAGACTCTTAGCGAGAGCAGGATTAAGTATATATTTCCCTATGTAATTAACAGTTCAGTAATTAGAAACTTACAGTAATACTGGGAATAATTCCAGCCGCCACATGCTGGGTGCATCCGCAGCCAGGATTAGTTTAAACCTCCCACGCTCTCTTCTGCTTTTTCTTTCTCAATAAAAGTAGCTCAGCTATCTCTTGTTTATTTCTCAGCCCAGTTTGAAGGAAAAATCATTTGTTCTTGTTCTCTAGCTTTTCACTGTTTGAGACAGATCAGTCAGGGTGAAATGTTTTGTCTTCCTTCTTTATATTTTTATTACTGACAGTCAGTGCTTTTTGTTGGCTTTAAAGCTAAAACCCAGGCTCAGCAAATACATTTTGCCTGCCATGGTACTGGTACAGCATACATTGAATGGATAATGTGATTTGTAAAAGTAGTTTGTGCACTGAGAAATAACTGCCTACATGTAAAATTAAAGAATATGTAAACCCAACATTTCTTATTCCTGGTATGTGTCTTCTGTACCATGTACTTGTATGAAAAAGTATCCTGTTCTCTCAGCATTGCTTCCTTTGTGTGAAATACCTGATATTTCCATTCTCTGGAACTCTCTACCCCAATCTATCAGACTGTCACCTATTCTGCTCACTTTTAGGCAATCTCTGAAAACCTATCTCTTCAGGGAAGCCTATCCTGCCTTCAGCTAATACCGGAATCTTCTATTCTTCCTACAAGTCCATCCCCCACAGTTATTGCCTTTTGTACCACCAGCCCCTTCCTCTTAGATTGTAAGCTCCAAGGAGCAGGGCCCTCCTAACCCTCTTGTATTGCACTTTATTGTTGCTGTATTGTCTTCCTTTATATTGTAAAGCGCTGAACAAACTGTTGGCACCAGGGGCGGACTGACAACTTATGGGGCCCCCCGGGCAATAGGGGATCATTGGGCCCCTGTGTCCTTGCCCAAACTCAAAAAAGCCTATCAAGAAGGTACCAGGGCATCTCATGGGGCCCCCTACTGTCCTCGGGCCCTCGGGCAGTGCCCAAGTTTCCAAATGGTCAATCCGCCCCTGGTTGGCGCTATATAAATCCTGTATAATAATAATAATAATATTCCTGCTCTTCAGTATGGTCAGTTTTCTGGCTGTGCTTGGAACTCATCCTGCTCCCCTCCAATGATCAGGCTTGTGCTGACATGCTTTCCTTGCACAACCATTCCTGTGTGCTGCTGTTTCTCCTTCCCCAGCTCTCTAAGACTCTTATGCAGCTGAGAACAGGGGTATGTGATCACTTATAAAAAAAGGGGAAAAAGGTAATTATAGTGGTTTTTTATATGTATACACAAATGTTTTGTTTTTCATTTCTATTTTAAACTGAATGGGATTGATTTACTAAAGGTAAACATACCGTGCACTTCAAGTGCAGTTGCTTTAGATCCAAGGGAAAGCCCTGAAATGAGGCGAAGCCCTGCTGATTTCTTTCATCCAATCATGTGCAAGCAAAATTGCTGTTTTTTTATTTTTTTTGCATGTCCCCCTTAGATGTAGAGCAACTGCACTTGAACTGCACAGTTTTTTTACTTTTAATAAATCAACCCCAATGGGTTGTTTTACAAGGTGAGGGTTCACATATACTTTAGTAGCCTTGTTCCTGCAGGTGGTACTGCTGAGTGACTATATTTCACGTGCCTTCCTCCTACAAAATGCAAGTCTAGTCCTGGACAAACCCCACATAGGAAACAATCCCAACCCCCGGCCCTACCTCTAATTTGACAAGACTAATAGTGGTGGCCCCCATATTTTGCTAAATGGTGTTATAATTTGTTGGCTACTGCCAGTGGGTTACCAAAACGTAGGATGTGGATATCCGTCATATTTATTTGCCACTTGCTTACTTCAGTGTGGCCATCTTTCATCCATCCATGCTTTTCCTAAAATAAGCAACTGCTATGCTCACCTTATCTTGGAAACCTTTTGTATTTTATTATTTAATTATTTACTAATACATTTGCTAGTTCAGTATTGTTATTTATAACATTCCTAAATTTTATTTAAATTCTTAATGCTGATATTTTGCTTCTTGTTTTTGGACCTAGCGAGTGATGGGGATTACTGGAGACTTCTGAACCCAGGAGAGTATGCCGTAACCGCTCGAGCTGAAGGCTTCACACCATCAACCAAGAATTGTGCAGTTGGATATGAGATGGGAGCCACACGTTGTGACTTTGTTCTGACAAAGTCTAACCTAGCACGTATCAAGGAAATCATGGAAAGAATGGGGAAGCAACCGATGAGCTTGTCCCTGCAGCGTAGGAAGGTTCGTTTTAGACCAGGACGCCATGTCTAAAGTACGCCAAGCTTGTAGCTACAGTTTTCTGAACTGTGGTTGAAAGGAACACAGGAAGTGGAGGGTTCTGACCTGCTACCGACTTGCTCGTAGGTAGAGCTTCTGTGAACTTTGCATAAACATTTTGACTTTTGCTGGCTTGTAACCTACAAATATGGATCTTTCGACCAATTATATCAATGAAAAACCCTTTTCTTTCATATGATAGGAACCATATCTTAAGCTAGCTATTTCATAGACTCTCACTTTCAGTAAAGAGAAGATATTATACCTGCACTTAGAACTTTTTAAAATAAGCCTTTTCCTTAAATGATAGTGCAAAGCGTGCTGAATCAAGTAGCACCAATTAAAGGGTATGTTTGAAATGAAGCATGAAAAGAAAATGAAAACTCAACTTGAACCAATGAAAATGGAAGGAAAAAAGTACAAGACAGGATAATTAAACATGCAGCATTTTTAATCCAGAGGGAGAAGATCAAGATTACTAGATCTGGACCAGAACAGTTTTTTTTTTCTTTTCTGTCTCATCTTAATTGTTTCTGCCCTCTGGCAGCTTTCATTAACATGACATTTAATCTGTTTTGTTTTCATGCTATAAAACGGCACATTAGACATTAATCCTTCTGCTGCCATAGAGACCACACAGCATTTTCATAGTGAAAGGCTGAACTGGTTACTTCTGTACTGTATCAGAATAAATGTTGTCAATTGGGTTATCTTAAAAATAAATAAGCTGCATATGGTAAATGTGGTTCAGTGTGTTAGGATGAGCAGAAAGCTTTACTTGGAGGTGTTTTGTGCAGAAGACAACTTCTGCTGTAGTTCAGTCATTAACCTCCCAATACAAGGGGTTCAGGTCCTTTGTTATTATTATCATTCTCACTCTGGTCATCCTGCCTGAGTACCTCATCCCGCAGCTCTCTAAAGCCAGCCATAGCCGGTTCGAATCTTGGCTGGTTCAGTAGAGACCGGCTGAGATTTGAACCATGTATGGGCAGGGCAACTGTACCCAAGTTGTTCAATCGATCAACTAGGGTGCAACGAGCCTGTCGGTTTTTACATGTGATTATTGCTAGTGGCTATTATAGCCGCTAGCAGTAATCACTGTGTTCTCCCGCTGGGGATGGTTACCCCCTGCCCCCCATAGAACACAATAACTCCAATGGAGGGAGTCAAGCAAGTTGCAGAAAAAAAATGCTAAGGCTTAAGGCTAGTCATTGACTGCCACTTTGTTTATTATAGGATCTCCTGGACTTTCCAGGTCAGCTGGGAGATAACTATCTCATGTCACAAATCCATGTAAAGCTGGCCATACATTATACAATTTTATTGTTCAGTTTCCTTTAGATTTACCTTCAACTATGTAGTGTAAGGGCCTGCCTGATTGCATACAAATTGAAAGTGTTTTGGTTTGACGTGAGGAAACACTGGCGCTTGCTCCCTTATTCAGAGTACCGGCATGGACTCAAGGACATCTCCAGCTTCGAGCGGCTCTACATGTTCTGTTGGGTCGTAGTGTTTAGGTTTGACCTCATATTATATGGTTTTGGTAAATCTAAAGGAAATTTATACAACAAATACCGTATGTATAATGTATGGCCAGCATAAGAGTTCCATTGTGTAACACTTATCTAGACCATGAGTCTCCAAACTGCGGCCTTTTGCTAGCCTCTATCCATCCCTTGGGGCACTATTCCTCCCAATGATATTAGGCACTATTCCTTTCACTGACACCAACAATGGCGCTATTCATTTTGCAAAGCGCTGTGCAAACTGTTGGTACTATATAAATCCTGTATAATAATAATAATATTTCTTCCACTGATACCAATGATGGAGTACTTTTCCTTCTACTAATACCAATGATGGGGCATTACTCCTTCTACTGACCACCATCCCTGAGGCCATGTTTAGTCTCACTGATGCTAGGCCCAAGACATTTTCTACCCTATAGGCAGGGCCCCCCTAAAGTCTTAGAGACAGTAAACTGGCCCTTTGTTTGAAAAGTTTGGGGACCTCTAATCCAGATTATTAAAACACAATTAGTTCCTGTCAGCAATAGAAGAATTCAGAGAGCACCGAGAACTAATCAACTCTCTTTTGCTACTACCATGCCATATGAGAATCAGGAGGCAGGTGTTATGCAGCATAACAAGGGCATGGGCCCAATAGACATACTGTATGTATGGACACTAATGGTAATTTATTGGATTGCGAGATGATCTTCCCACATGTAAATAAGGATTAGTCCTGAAAGCTGCAGAACACAATTTTTACACTATGTTCACATATTTATTGTTCTTGATATGCATTAGATATATGTCTGTGAAGGTTCTCATTATCCAGGTCAATTTAATATCTTGGTGCATCTAAAATGTAATTGTAGTTAGCTTCAACTGAGCTTTCTCTGTAATGTTGAAGACGTTTTATACCTTATCCAAGCCACTTGGATAAGCTATGAAACGTCTTCAACATTAAAGAACAAGTCCATTTGAATTTGACTAACTACTACTAGACATTTGAAGGGTATAACATCAGCAGATTTCTTAGAACTGGAGTCCGCTTGGTTAACAAATATTAAAGTTCACCACATAAGAGAAGATACACAGCACACAACAATACAACAGAATGGTTTATTCAATCTACAGTATATGAACAGCTTTAGGTTGAGGGATGCAACCACGTTGCTTGGGCCTAGAGGTGTAAAATTTCCAGAAATTTTGAAGCCATGAGAAAAAGAACATTTTTCCCATGTTTTTTTCCAGAAAAAAATGAAAAATAAATTCAGTGTGGAGTAGTTTTACTGGGAATGTGAAATACACTGGGAACATAAAATGCAGTGTATATAGAACTGTTATGCTTGATATAAAAGTACAGCATATTCAGTAAATAAACAAAACTTGCAAACAAACTTGCAATTCAGTAAATAAACAAAACACATTTTTTAAATGTGATGATGCAGAAGCAGCAGAAAGAGTGTTTCTGGGATGAGAACTCTGGAGGTTACTTGCACTTTCATTCTGGTCCTCATAATTTAATTCCATAAAGTTTTTTTTTTAATGTCTTTAGCAAACCTCTGGCATTCCAGGATGTGTGTTGTCATCCTTGTACCATTTAGACATTAATATTTCTTCTCACAATATTTGCAAATTGCAGCTTCACTCTCAGCAGAAATTGCACTGTGGAAATGTTTTCAAACTTCACATGTTGGTCTCACCATTTTTCTCAGGGGGGGGGGGGGGGGGGGGCGAAAACAATTTACTGAGCAGACTATAGGGAAACATTATGCTATGGTGGTGGAGAACTTTAATAGGAATCACTTTTCAGACAAATTTACCCTCTTACCTGTCAATTAAGGCCTGAGAGGAGGACAGAAATTATCATCTACTGTATCCAATCACCCAACTGTAGGAGGTGCAAGATGGAGCCCACAAGCAAACTAAACTGAAGCCTTTCCCCTGCAGTGACCCTAGTGACATAAATGCATCTTTCTCTTTGATCCTTGAGAACTGCATTGAAATGTAAAGTGTTTCTTGAATTGTATTCCAAGATTTGCTTGGCTTCAGTTGAGAGAACTTTCAATAATTTAAGACTTTAAATATTCTTAGAAATCTTTCATTTAGGTCTTCATGTTATATATTTTGAATACCATGTCATAGATATAATATTTATCATTGGAAAAGAACATATTCCACACCCCTTTTTGTTTTTTTTTTTTTTATTTGTTTCTGAAAAAAAAAACCCAAAAATGGCTTTGGAAAAAAAAAAACTGAAAACATTTTTTACCCAATTGCTTTTCCATATTTTTCCCAGGCCTTCCCATCTCTACTTGGGGCACCCATATGAAAAATTGTTCATCTTGAGTGACAGGAAGGGAGAGATGTGGGATACTCAGTGTTAGTGACACATGCAAATATAACAGAAAGTTCTGTATTTTGTATGGGGGAAATTGTGCAATCACAGTAGAGTTTGGTCACCGAACCTAACCCTTGTTGGTCATTCTACTTATATACAGTATGTGTGGTCACAAGCTCCATCCATCCTGACTGCAAGACACATATTTTAGAGAAGAGGCTACTCTGTCTGTAGAGTTTTGTGCTGCACACAACACATTTTACCAGAGAATCCTGTGGACCCTGTTACAGGATAATGGCTTCCCTGGCTGCTAGGTTTAAAAGTGTGTAGACAGCGCAGCTCGCATTTCATCTGGAATGCACTCCCCCTCCTGTAGAATAACTCTCAGCAGATGTGCTGACACTGGCTAACCCTAATGTGGAACTAATCCACTTCCTATACTCCAGCAGGAACACACACTCTGTGGCTCTGTTTAGCCTCTTTTTATACAGAAATTACCAATACGTAGCAATATCAGCAGAGGAGGTACCTGTATGCATCTGCAGATTATTGCTCATAAACCATCAAAGGTAGGTGCTCACCTGTTCCATAATATAAAGCAAGGATAGTTTGTTGTTAGAGAGCTGCGTAAAGCGGTATTAAGCCCAAAACATAATATATTGTAGATTACCAATCATTAGATGAGATTACTGCTTTAGTTTTCTTTTTTAGGCTTTTTCCCTCTGTTTTCACCTGGTGATCTGGCTGATAACACACTTCCTCTGTTAGGGTGCCTACACTTGGGATGAGGGCGCACAGGGGCAGATTGGAGAGCAGCATTGCAAATTTCAGAGGAGGTATTGATAGATGCATTAGCAGATTTAAATTGATTCTAAGGGTTGTAATTTAAAAAAAAAAATAACAAACATGTTTTACTTACTTATTCTGTGCAATGGTTTTGCACAGAGCAGCCAAAAGCCTCATCTTTTTGGGTCCCCCGCTGGCGGTCCTCGCTCCTCCCCTTTGCTGAGTGCCCCAAAAAGCAAGCTGTGCCTTAAAAAAGCCCGGTTACAATATACTCAACAACACCTTGCCACGCCTCAAGTAAAGGCTTGTTTTTGGCAACTCGACTATGCAGCTAATTTTTGTTCAGGTATAGCCTCATA